TGAAAATTGATCAAGTCTGATGTACCGACAGCCTTTCTCATTTCTTAAGGCCCTTAAAATGCCAGGACAGTACAAATACCCCCCAAATGACCTCTTTTTGAAAAGTAGACAGTCTGAGGTATTTAGTGAGAGGTATGATGAGTTTTTTGAAGTTGTAATTTTTATCACATTTTTTTGGAAAATAAAGAAATTAAATAAAATTAGTTTTTTGTCACTTTTTTTTTTACATACTGTCAGCAGCTCAGTACAGTATCATCACTGGTGACAGCATGGTAAAAAAAAAAAAACTACAAACACATTTTAACCACCTCCCGTCCGGCTGTTGTATATAAACGGCTGGACGGTGGCACTGCAGAGTCGGGTGGCCGTTTATAAACAGCCTCCCCATACCTTGCTTGTGCACACTCCCTGGGAGCGCGCAGCACCACGATCCGTTGCCTGCTGTGTCCTCCGAACACATTAAAACACCGATCGTTGGACGGGACCTCTGTACGAGCTCCCAATCATGTGATCACTGATTGGCCAATCAGTGATTACATGCAAAGTAGTAAGCAAGATGTCACTTGTGACATCATTGCTTACTACGTGTGAAATCTGTGAATGATCACAGAGGTCACATGGTACAAGGCTATTCACAACAGCCTTGTGGCATGTGACAAGCTGTGACCAATAACAGCTCACTCAGTAGTTCTTAATGGCTGCAAGAATACAGACAGAGAGAAAGAGAAATTATTGCTTTTACATCCTATATGGGTGTAAAAGCAACCAGTGTAAAAAAAAAAAAAATCTTCATCACCCCCCACAAGTAGTGCAGTGTCACCATGGTGACACTGTACTGCTAGGGTGACAGTATGTAAAAAAAAAAACAAAAAAAACAAAATAATAATATAAAAAAAAAAATGCAAAAAAAAGTTTAAAAATTATAATTTTTGGTTATAAACTAATTTGACTTATTTTTTTTTTTTTACTAAAAAGATAACGGAATAAATTTTGGCCAAGATTTATGATGAAATATTATTTATTTGCAAAATTCTATAAGAAAAACTTTTTTTCAAAATTTTTGGACTTTTTCATTTACATAGCAAAAAAAATAAAAATCCCAGCAGTGAATAAATACCACCAAAATAAAGCTTTATCTGTCTAAAAAAATGGTAAAAAAATTCATATGGATACAGTGTTGCATGACCGCGCAATTGTCATTGAAAGTGTGATAGCGCTGAAAGCTGAAAATTGCCATGGACAGGAAGGGAGTAAAAGTGTCCGTACAGGAAGTGGTTAAAATAGTTTTTCATTTAATTTTTTTTTTACATTTTTAAATATTTTTTTTTTACTTTCATCAGAGTAGTTCAGTGTCACAATGGTAACACTGTACTACTCTGGGGAAGGTGGGGGTGATCAGTGATTTTTTTTTTTACACATTGTATCAGCAAAGTGTAAAAAAATAAAAAATTAATGTAGCAGCAATGCTCTGAACTGTCATGAATGAGTTTCATTCATGACAGCTGTGATTACTAGTGATCTCTGATTGGCTATAGATAATCAGATGGTACAGGGTACTGTGATTGGACCAGGTATCAAGTTATAGCTGTGGGACAATCACAGCCAGGGGCGGACTGACAACTCATGTGGCCCCTGGGCAATAGGGGATCATGGGGCCCCTGTGTCCTCGCCCACACCCAAAAAAGTCTATGAAAAAGACAATGAAAGGTACCAGGGGCATCTCATGGGGCCGCCTACTCACCCTGGGCCCTCGGGCAGTGCCAAGTACTCAAATGGTCAGTCCGCCCCTGATCGCAGCTTACTAGTATCGGAAGTAGAGCTGTTATAATTGGAATTGAGCCATAACAGCTTTGTTGACATGTGATCTCATAGCAATCACCTGATCTCTGGGCTGCTCATAAAGGGCTTGTTACTGTGAGCCGCAAACCGCTGTGTCCAGGTGAACATAGTGGTCATGGGGGAGGGGAGGACTGTGCACCCCCCCTTACCCAGATCAGACACAATGACGTACATGTAAATGATTGTGCCTACATGTGTATGTACTGTGGAGGGTCGGCAAGTGGTTACCTCAGCTGTGATTTAGCATCAGGAAATAGAAGACCATTTAGTGGTAATTGAACTTAATCTATTGGTATGGGTTACAGTAAATGGTGGTTTGAACATAAACAAAAACAAGCAATAACTGCAATGTGACTAAAAATACTGTGACTAGTCTATAGTGCACTCTAGAAAAATGGCTACAATATGATGCAATGTCCCCTGAGAGGTACCTCTTAGCATAAACAATTGGTGAAAGTCTTAGTGTGTAGCAGCTGAAAAGGGACAGTCTTTAGTTCTAACTCTTCAGCTGGCTAGCGTTGGGGACCAGGTGTACCGTTGGTGCACATGAGAACAATTCCAGTCAAGCAGCCATAATGCTACTAGATGGCTGTATGATCATTTCCTAAAGAGCTCAGGATCTCTAGCAGCAAATTGTAAATCTCCACATCAGCAACTCATCAGTCTTAGTGATTTATTACAGGTTTTATTTATTACAGGTACTTATATAGCGTCGTCAATTTACGCAGCGCTTTACATATATATATAGTCCCTAACCCTCAAGGGGTGTACAGTCTAAGGTCCCTAACTTACATTCATACATACACATACTAGGGACAATCCTAGTCCTTGGAAGTGGCATCCCCCCACTGAGTTATTTGTCACATTCCCCTGTAGTGCTATTTAACATGGCAGCCAGAGAATTCCAAGGCTGGCTTATACTTAGACCCCTATAAAAAGTTCACAATAATGTTCATGAAGGTAAAAGTTATTGTAGGCCCAAAATAGCCATTACACTTCAGAGCTGTTATTCCTCAGCTACTGTAGTCAGGGAAGTGGTTAATCATGGACAATCTGTGCTTGATTAGTTGTAGTGGAGGGCAGGAGAGGCATTGAGGGTCTAAGGCAGGCCATGTTTATCGACAGAATTTTCAGCCGATAAACGAAAAATCGGTCAGCCCTGTTGCCGATGCTGCCACCCATGCCGTTTTTCGCAGATTTTCCAGCATGACCAATAAAAATAAATGAGGAGATCCGTGAAAAACGGCCGACGGGCTGGCCCCACTAACGGCGTGATTATCAGCAGATTTTCCGGGCGGACGGAAATTTGGCCGATAAACGACCCGTCTATGGCCTGCATAATACAGCCTTTCTCAACCCTAAAGTTATTTCAAGGAACCATTGAAAACACTTTACGGTCTCAGGGAACCCGTGTAAAAGTTACCATATCTACATCTCATGATATATTAGTGTGATGGTCAGTGGGAAGAATTTTCCCTATACTTGTGCTCATTGGGAAGAATTACTCCCTTATAGATAGCTAGAAAGATAGATTGTAAGCTCCAAGGAGCAGGGCCCTCCTAACCCTCTTGTATTGAACTGTATTGTTGCTGTATTGTCACCCTTTACATTGGAAAGCGCTGAGCAAACTGTTGGTGCTATATAAATCCTGTATAATAATAATTAGTGGTGCACCAAAATTAAAATTCTGGTGCCGAAACCGAAAATTCCAAATGCATTTGGCTGAAAACTGAAATGCGCAGTTTTTAAAAATGAATATATATTTTTTGAAAAAAAAATACACTTTCATTAAAAAAAAAATATATACACCCCAATTGTTTTGTAAAATATGTAAGAGGATGTTACGGCGAGTAAATAGATACCCAACATGTCACGCTTTAAAATTGCACATGCTCGTGGAATGGCATGAAACGCGGTGCATTCGGTACTTAAAAATCTCCATGGGTGATGTTTTAAAAAAAATCTAAAGCTTAGCAGTGTAAAGTTACAGAGGAGGAAATCTAGTGCAAGAATTATTGCTCTTGCTCTGACGTTCGTGGCGATGCCTCACATGTGTGGTTTGAACTCCATTTACATATGTGTAAATAAGTAATAAGTATGCGTTCACTACTATGTGCGAACACAGGGGGGACGGGGGCACTTTAAACTTTTTTTATAAAATGTATTTAATATTTTTTGTTTTTTTTTTGCACTGTAATCACTTTTATTCTTATCACAAGAAATGCATGCATCCCTTGTGATAGAAATAATCAGTGACAGGGCCTCTTTATAGAGAGATATGGGGCCAATAAGATCCCACGTCTCTCCTCTGCAATGTAAAGCATTGGAACAACAAAAAGCATTGATCTAGCGCTTTGAAGAAAAAAAAAAATGGCCGGAACTGGAAGTGACATCGCTCTGGTCCTCCAAGAGCATAGGGAAGTGTGGCGGCCATCTTTCCTTCACTCATCTCCATGCCCAGCAATGGGATCGATGGATTCTCGGATAAAACGGAACTACCGAGCAGCAGCCGGCAAGCGGGCGATGGCGGCGTTGGACAGCGGCTTTGAGGGGTGGGGTTTTTTCAGCACCTGTATCGGTGCTTTTTTTCATTTTTGCCGAAAGGTGTGTTTTCGGTCGAAACTTTTTGGCCACTGGAATTTCGGTGTATCCCTAATAATAATATTGGTGTCAGTGGGAACTTAATCCTAATGAAGAAATTGCTCATTGCTCAGGGAACCCTTAGCAACCTCTGCAGGACCCTAGGGTTCTGTGAAACCCTGATTGAGAAACCCTGGTCTAATAGATCCCTGATGTCTTCATAAAGAGGACCTGTCACCTACCCAATGCTATCACATAGGGGACTTGCTGGTCTGCTTGTGTTGGTAATAAAGTAATATTGAAAAAAATGTGTACAAAAAAAAAATTGTAATAAAACAAATAAAAAAAAACGTTAAAAGCACCCCCTCACCAGAGCACACTCCTCAGTGTAAATGGGCAGCATAAGACATGCATATGTATTTGGACAAAAACTGTATCACACATGAGGCATCACCACAAACATCAGAGTGGGAGCTATAATTGTATAACCATCATTCATAGTTAGTCTGGCTGAAAAAGACAAAAGTCCATCCGGTTCAACCATTAAAAAAAAAAAAAAAAAGTTATAATCCTATAACCACAGTAGGCACGGACTGACCATTTGGAAACTCGGGCACTGCCTGAGGGCCCGGGGTCAGTAGGGGGCCCATGAGATGCCCCTGGTACCTTTTTCATAGGCTTTTTTGAGTTTGGGCTAGGACACAGGGGCCCCATGATCCCCTATTGCCCGGGAGCCCCATGAGTTGTCAGTCCGCCCCTGAACCATAGTTAAAGTGTTGCTAAACCCCGGACCCTGCATTCACTATCTTTTCTCCCACAGTACACAGAACATGGAAATGCAATTATTTTTGTAAATATAAACTGCTAAATACCTTCTCTCATCAGCAGAAAGAGCAGTCTTGTGACTTCAGCAAAGCACTGGTTAAAGCTTATAGAAGGAGTTTTCATTCTACTTTAGGATGCAGGACCCCTGACCTCTGTCTGAAGACTGCGGATTGGCCCTGTGCTGATCATACGCACTCTCCCAAGATAAAAAACAACCTCTCTAGCAATACACATCACACTGAGCATGTGCAGAGTGTCTCCACACAATATGTCTTATCGGGAGATAAGAGGCGGACGCTCGAACAAGGGGAGGAACAGAGCAGTGAGGATCAAACTGCCTTTTTACACAATACAGAGGATTAACCCCTTAGGTTCCACAGGGAGTATAACAAGCATGCTTTACGGCATATTATTATTGTACAGGATTTACAGGTGAAACTAGAAAAATTAGAATATCGTGCAAAAGTTAATTTATTTCAGAAATGCAACTTAAAAGGTGAAACTAATATATGAGATAGACTCATTACATGCAAAGCAAGATAGTTCAAGCCGTGGTTTGTCATAATTGTGATGATTATGGCTTACAGCTCATGAAAACCCCAAATCCACAATCTCAGAAAGTTAGAATATTGTGAAAAGGTGCAATATTCTAGGCTCAAAGTGTCCCACTCTAATCAGCTAATTAAGCCATAACACCTGCAAAGGGTTCCTGAGTCTTTAAATGGTCTCTCAGTCTGGTTTAGTAGGAATCACAATCATGGGAAAGACTGCTGACCTGACAGATGTGCAGAAAACCATCATTGACACCCTCCATAAGGAGGGAAAGCCTCAAAAGGTAATTGCCAAAGAAGTTGGATGTTCCCAAAGTGCTGTATCAAAGCACATTAATATAAAGTTATGTGGAAGGGAAAAGTGTGGAAGAAAAAGGTGCACAAGCAGCAGGGATGACCGCAGCCTGGAGAGGATTGTCAGGAAAAGGCCGTTCAAAAGTGTTGGGGACTTTCACAAGGAGTGGACTGAGGCTGGAGTCAGTGCATCAAGAGCCACCACACACAGACAGATCCTGGACATGGACTTCAACTGTCGTATTCCTCTTGTCAAGCCGCTCTCCTGAACAACAAACAACATCAGAAGCGTCTTACCTGGGCTAAAGAAAAGCAGACCTGGTTTGTTGCTCAGTGGTCCAAAGTCCTCTTTTCTGATGAGAGCAACTTTTGCATCTCATTTGGAAACCAAGGACCCAGAGTATGGAGGAAGAATGGAGAGGCACACACTGCAAGATGCTTGAAGTCCAGTGTGAAGATTCCAGTCTGTGCAGATTTGGGGAGCCATGTCATCTGCTGGTGTTGGTCCACTGTGCTTCATTAAGTCCAGGGTCAACGCAGCCGTCTACCAGGAGATTTTGGAGCACTTCATGCTTCTTTCCGCAGACAAGCTTTATGGGGATGCTGACTTCATTTTCCAGCAGGACTTGGCACCTGCCCACACTGCCAAAAGCACCAAAACCTGGTTCAATGACCGTGGAATTACTGTGCTTGATTGGCCAGCAAACTCGCCTGACCTGAGCCCCATAGAGAATCAATGGGGCATTGCCAAGAGAAAGATGAGAGACATGAGACCGAACAATGCAGAAGAGCTGATGGCCGCTATTGAAGCATCCTGGTCTTCCATAACACCTCAGCAGTGCCACAGGCTGATAGCTTCCATGCCACACCGCATTGAGGCAGTAATTGCTGCAAAAGGGGCCCAAACCAAGTACTGAGTACATATGCATGCTTATACTTTTCAGAGGTCCGATATTGTTCTATGTACAATCCTTGTTTTATTGATTGCATGTAATATTCTAATTTTCTGAGATTGTGGATTTGGGGTTTTCATGAGCTGTAAGCCATAATCATCACAACTATTATTATTATTATTATACAGTATTTATAAAGCGCCAATAGTTCGCTCAGCGCTGTACATTACAAAGGGGGACAGAACATGTGACAGAACAATACCAATACAATGTGAACTATCTTGCTTTGCATGTAATGAGTCCATCTCATATATTAGTTTCACCTTTTAAGTTGCATTACTGAAATAAAAAAATGAAATTTTGCACGATATTTTAATTTTTTGAGTTTCACCTGTATATAGCGCCAACAGTTTGTGCAGAGCTTTACAAAATGAGGAGAGACAATACAGTTACAATACAACTTGGTACAAGAGGAAACAGAGGGTCCTGCCCATTAGAGCTTACACAGACTGATTTTACTGTTGTGGGTTTAGTAACACTTTAATTCTAAACTGATGATCTGTAAAGGCTTTTAAAGAGCTGCCTAATGAGAATTTTGGGTACTTTTTTTTTTTTTTTTTTACAATTTCACAGGTGTGCGCAATTTTAAAGTGGTAGAAAACTTAAAAAAATACATCTAAAAAAATCTTCTGAGTTGAGAGCATAACGTGCTAGTATGTACTGTATTACATACTAGCATAGTATGAAAGACTTAGCTGAAAATGAAGCCCTATGGTGGAGTGCTGTCATGGCTGAAGCTTCCATCATCACCAGGTGTTTCTTCTGAGTTTGCAGGCTGTGGCCCTTTTACTGGCTGACCCGGGGTGATGTCACTCCTGTGAGTTTCAGCAGCAGCACATCACTCTAAATCAGGGGTGTCAAACTGGCGACCCTGCAGCTGCTGCAAAACTACAAATCCCATCATGCCTCTGCCTTTGGGAGTCTTGCAATGCCTCATGGAACTTGTAGTTTGGCAATAGCTGGAGGGCCACCAGTTTGACACCTGTGCCATGGCACTCCGTCCATTGAGAGCGCATGCACCATAGGTAAAGGCTTACCCCTCCGTAAAACATAACAAAAAGACTCTACTACCACTTTAAAGGCCTGACACGGGACCTCTTTATTTGATCCATCTATTATATATATATAATTTTTTTTTCTTTTTTTTAAACGGATATTATGTGCTTGTTTTTACTGTAATTCGTTCTAGTGTATTCTTTTTTCTGAAAATATGCAGTTGATAAAAAGTTGCAGGAATAATATAAAATATTTATTAAAAAATAAAAAGTGACGGCCACCGTTTTATTCGCCGTGGTCTCTGCCTTCAGAAAATCTATAATGCTTGGGGGTTTAGGCTGGGTTCACACTGATGCGGTGCGGAATTTGCAGTGTTTTCTGTGGGAATTCCGCACCGCATCAGAATCGCACCCCGTTCAAACCACTGCGGGTGTGTATGTTAACAACACCCCGAAATCGGTCCGCAAAACGTGGTGCGATGTGCAGAATCGTATTGCATAGGTGTGAATACCCATGCAATCCATTCTAGTGCGGACCAAAAAAAGGGTCCTGCATCTTTTTGGTGCGGGTGCGGTGCGATTGGAGCCATACAAAATGCGGTGCGGTTTCTGTGCGAATCACATGCAATATATCACACCGCACATATGTGAACCCAGCCTAAAGGTGATTTCCAGCACAGAAAATCGAGATTTTAAAGTGTTACTAAACCCCAGACCCTGCGTTCACTATATCTGGTCTCCCACAGTGCACAGAACATGGAAATGCAATTATTTTACTAAATATAAACTGCTAAATACCTTTTCTCATCTGCAGTTAGAGCAGTCTTGTGACTTTAGCAGAGTACTGGTTAAAGCTTGGAGTTTTTCTTTCTGCTCTAGGAGGATGCAGGACCCCTGACCTCTGTCTGGACAGCGCTGAATGGCCCTGTGCTGATCACATGCACTTTCCCAAGAAAAGAAAAAAAACCTAGCAATACACACTATACTGAGCATGTGCAGTGTCTCCATATGTCTCATCAGGAGACAAAAGGGGGACGCTTGAAGAAGGGGAGGATCAGAGAAGACAGGATCAAGCATCCTTTTTACACAATGCAGAGGATTAACCCCTTAGGTTTCACAGTGAGTATAACAAGCATGCTTTACTGCATATACAGACTGGTTTCACTGTTGTGGGTTTAGTAACACTTTAATGTGTGGGAACAAATAGAACATTGCCTCGGTAGTAGTTCATGGATAAGCTGTTTCAGAGGGGAACCCCCGACCAGTGACAACCTGGAACCCGCCGCACACACAGAAGCGTCTCATCACTGAGAAGTGATGGGAGATCTCCTATGCCGGTGGCATTGACCTCAGCGGCACTTCTCGTGATCGCCGGTACCAGGACACACGGAGCCTCTGCCAATCATTGATAGGATGCCGGGCACAGGGAACACTGCACCTCTAGCTGTGCGCAGCCTGCTGCAGCCAGCGGCCAATCAGCACACAGTAGATATGACAGAGGGGCGTGTCTCTCTGGTTGCTGTGAGACAGTATCAGTGACTGGGCTCGCAGCTCCTCTGTGTGGAAGGAGGGGGCGTGTCCCTCAGAATCCGCAACATGGCGCTGAACAGGAACCACACGGACGGCGGGGGTGTCGTAGTTAATAATTGTGAGAGGTGAGGAGATGTCCTGTGTGGGCCCCGAGCTACCCTTCATATATCCCGACACCCGGACCGCTCCGATTCACTACCCCTACATCTGACATCAAATTATGTCATCGGGGCGGGGCTTGGTTAGATTGACGGGCGGACGGACCAATCAGGAAATGTGTTCACCGTTTTATAGCTGTGGGCGCACTAGTGCAGCAGTGCAGTGTAGTGTAGTGCAGCGTGTGCGCGGCTCTGCTTCATGTAGTACAGCGCATATTCATGGCTCCGCTTCATGTAGTATAGCGTGTGCGCGGCTCCGCGTCATGTAATACAGCATGTGTGTGCGGCTCCGCTTCATGTAGTACAGCGTGTGCGCTGCTCAGCTTCATGTAGTACAGCGTGTGCATCCGCGTCATGTAATACAGCATGTGTGTGCGGCTCCGCTTCATGTAGTACAGCGCGTATGCGTGGCTCAGCCTCATGTACAGCATGTGTGTGCGGCTCTGCTTCATGTAGTACAGCGCATATTCATGGCTCCGCTTCATGTAGTACAGCGTATGCGTGGCTCAGCCTCATGTAGTACAGCGTGTATGCGGCTCCGCGTCATGTAGTACAGCACATGTGTTTGCGGCTCCACTTCATGTAGTACAGCGCATATTCATGGCTCCGCTTCATGTAGTACAGTGCATATGCATGGCTCCGCTTCATGTAGTACAGTGCATATGCATGGCTCCGCTTCATGTAGTACAGCGTGTGTGTGGCTCCGCTTCATGTAGTACAGCGCATATTCATGGCTCCGCTTCATGTAGTACAGCGTATGCGTGGCTCAGCCTCATGTAGTACAGCGTGTATGCGGCTCCGCGTCATGTAGTACAGCACATGTGTTTGCGGCTCCACTTCATGTAGTACAGCACATGTGTTTGCGGCTCCACTTCATGTAGTACAGCTATTCATGGCTCCGCTTCATGTAGTACAGTGCATATGCATGGCTCCGCTTCATGTAGTACAGCGTGTGTGTGGCTCCGCTTCATGTACAGCGCATATGCACGGCTCCGCTTCATGTAGTACAGTGTGTGTGTGGCTCCGCTTCATGTAGTACAGCGTGTGTGTGGCTCCGCTTCATGTAGTACAGCGTGTGTGTGGCTCCGCTTCATGTACAGCGCATATGCACGGCTCCGCTTCATGTAGTACAGCGCATATGCACGGCTCCGCTTCATGTAGTACAGCGCATATGCACGGCTCCGCTTCATGTAGTACAGCGCGTATGCACGGCTCCGCTTCATGTAGTACAGTGCATATGCACGCGTTCATGTAGTGGCGTGGCCGCTTCATGTAGTACAGCGTGTGTGTGGCTCCGCTTCATGTAGTACAGCGTGTATTTGGCTCCGCTTCATGTACAGCACATATGCACGGCTCCGCTTCATGTAGTACAGCACATATGCACGGCTCTGCTTCATGTAGTGCATATGCACGTGCTTCATGTAGTACACACGGCTCTGCTTCATGTAGTACAGCGCCTATGCGCGGCTCTGCTTCATGTAGTACAGCAGCACGCTTCATGTAGTACAGCACGTGTGTGTTGCTCCGCTTCCTGTAGTACAGTGTGTGTGCGGCTTTATATGTAGATGAATGCCATGTAGGATGTATGTAGTGCAACATTTATATTATTATACAGGATTTATATTGCACCAACAGTTTGCTCAGCACTTTACAATATAACGGGAGACAATACAATACAGTTCAATACAAGGAGGGTTCATGAAGTGCAATATATGTAGCAGCATTCAATATATCCAGTATCTCCCAGAAGTGAGTGCACCCCTCACATTTTTGTACATATTTTATTCTATCTTTTCATGTGACAACACTGAAGAAATGACACTTTGTACAATGTGACGTAGTGAGTGTACAGCTTGTATAACATGTAAATTTTCTGTCCCCTCAAAATAACTCAACACACAGCCATTAATGTCTAATCCGCTGGCAACAAAAGTGGGTACACCCCTAAGTGACAATGTCCAAATTGGGCCCAATTATTAATTTTCCCTCCCCGGTGTCATGTGACTCCTTAGTGTTACAAGGTCTCAGGTGTGAATGGGGAGCAGGTGTGTTAAATTTGGTGTTATCACTCTCACTCTCTCATACTGGTCACTGGAAGTTCAGCATGGCACCTCATGACAAAGAACTCTCTGAGGATCTGAAAAAAAGAATTGTTGCTCTACATAAAGATGGCCTAGGCTATAAGAAGATTGCCAAGACCCTGAAACTGAGCTGCAGCATGGTGGCCAAGACCATACAGCGGTTTAACAGGACAGGCTCCACTCAGAACAGGCCTCGCCATGATCAACCAAAGAAGCTGAGTGCACGTGCTCAGCGTCATATCCAGAGGTTGTCTTTGGGAAATAGATGTATGAGTGCTGCCAGCATTGCTACAGAGGTTGAAGGGGTGGGGGGTCAGTCTGTCAGTGCTCACACCATACGTTGCATCAAATTGGTCTGCATGGCTGTCATCCCAGAAGGAAGCCTTTTCTAAAGATGATGCACAAGAAAGCCCACAAACAGTTTGCTGAAGACAAGCAGACTAAGGACATGGATTACTGGAAACCATGTCTTGTGGTCTGATGAGACCAAGATAAACTTATTTGGTTTCAGATGGTGTCAAGTGTGTGTGATGGCAACCAGGTGAGGAGTACAAAGACAAGTGTATCTTGTCTACAGTCAAGCATGGTGGTGGGAGTGTCATGGTCTGGGGCTGCATGAGAGGTGCGGCACTGGTGAGCTACAGTTCATTGAGGGAACCATGAATGCCAACATGTACTGTGACATACTGAAACAGAGCATGATCCCCTCCCTTCAGAGACTGGGCCGCAGGGCAGTATTCCAACATGATAATGAGCCCAAACTCCCCTCCAAGATGACCACTGTGCCTTGCTAAAGAAGCTGAGGGTAAAGGTGATGGACTGGCCAAGCATGTCTCCAGACCTAAACCCTATTGAGCATCTGTGAGGCATCGTCAAACGGAAGGTGGAGGAGCGCAAGATCTCTAACATCCACCAGCTCTGTGATGTCATCATGGAGGAGTGGAAGAGGACTCCAATGGCAACCTGTGAAGCTCTGGTGAACTCCATACCCAAGAGGGTTAAGGCAGTGCTGGAAAATAATGGTGGCCACACAAAATATTGACACTTTGGACCCAATTTGGACATTGTCCCTTAGGGGTGTACTCACTTTTGTTGCCAGCGGTTTAGACATTAATGGCTGTGTGTTGAGTTATTTTGAGGGGACAGCAAATTTACATGTTATACAAGCTGTACACTCACTACGTCACATTGTAGCAAAGTGTCATTTCTTCAGTGTTGTCACATGAAAAGAGAGAATCAAAAAAGTGAGGGGTGGACTTGCTTCTGTGAGATACTGTATGTAGCTCAACATTTATGTAGTGCAATATGTATGTGCACAGCAATACAAAGAAGCATGTGTGTGCTGACAGGAGAGATCTGTGTTGTTTCCACACAGATCTCTCCCCTTTCACTGTTCCTCGGCAATCGCCGGGTGCTGGTGGGGAATCTCTGGCCGGGACCCCGTGATTGACAGCTGTAGCCACCAGAGGTGGCACGGGTAGGACGGCGCACACCCCCTACCTGGAAATGCAAATCACTTATATATACACATTTTGCGCAGCCCTGCCGCCCTGTAGCAGTACTTCTACTATAGGGTGGTGGGGAAGCGGTTAAACTCAGTGCGTTATCTGCAATAAATCGGCCTCAGAACCTGTGTAATTAATATGTTCGGGTTTAAAGGGATGAGGTGGAAACCCTAGCTACATATTATGAATAATTTATAGAATACAGGGGCGGAGTCTAATGCCGAGTGGACTGCGATATCTGCCCTCCATTATAGACAGTTCATAGACACCAGAAGGTGGTTAGACATTCAGGCACAGGCATTGTCCCTAAGGACTCCTTTACAATTGCGGTTGGGGCAGTAAAAACACGCAGCTGAGCCCCGACCAACTCACCCTAAAGCTGGCAGAACTTCCTGCTGAACACAGCCATTGAACTGAATGTCAGGTAAGGTAAACTCATGCTCTTGCTTCTGTGTGAAAGGTCCATACCTACTCTGTTTAGATATCAATTGATTTCAGATTAAAGGTCGTGTGACTCACCGCCGTCACGCATGAGCGCAAGACCTGCGAATCCCAGCCTTCTAAAACCCTGTAACTGAACTCTGCATAAACATTGATATGGAAGGAGAATCTTTAGCTCCGACACCCTTCTGGCTCCTTTCACACAGACAGCCGGCTCTGAAAATCGATCTGTGGTGGATCACTTTTCAGATGGCAGTATACAAGAGTGCAGGAGGCCATACTGAATGCCTATTTTTTACACAACACAGTTGGCGCGTGTTCCCATTGACTTTTTAGTAGCCTGTTAAAAGGAGCACCCCACAAAGCGATGCAAACTGTCCCATATGTAGTAAGATGAACAGAGATGTGTGTCAGGATTGTGATGCAAATGCTGCCTTTGGGAATGAGGTCGTCCTGGATTGTTGGATGCATGGTCCCCCACCACCCCTGCTGCATTCTCTGGTCCAATCTGTCAGCCCCTATGTCCATACCATATCCTGTAGTGACGTAGGGAGCAGCGGATGAAACCACAGAGTGCAGAGGGAGGCAGGACACAAGATAATTCAGCTTTACCTTTTAGGTGGGCAAAGATCCGCAGCACAGGCAGCAGGACGGGTAAGGAATAATTGGGTTCTTCTTGCAAGCAGGACTCTAATGTCAGAGAGATTGCAAGGATCAAGTTGTATTTTATGGAAACTGAATACAAATGTGCTATTTTATCAAATCACACTTCACTATTTTCTATTTTCAGTGTTTTGATGTCCTATGACCATGTGGAGCTTACATTTGGTGACATGGCAAGCACTGCAGATGCCTTTAGGGGGACTAAGAAAGGCACGATAATGCTGACCCCATACAGGGTAAGATTATTACTATTATACAGGATTTATATAGCGCCAACAGTTTGCTCAGCGCTTTACAATATAACGGGAGACAATACAGCAACAATACAGTTCAATACAAGAGGGTTAGGAGGGCCTGATCCTGGGAGCTTACAATCTAAGAGGTGAGATCCTATGGCTTCCTCTTTGTCACCTGAGATACAGAAGAGAGAAAAGACAAAGTAGGCTTTTAGATGGTGATGATAGATCTGCTTTGTTTTTTTTTAAATGTAGTAATCAGATCCAGGTATATATCTGTAGTGTTTAGGTGGCAGGGGCGGACTGACAACTCATGGGGCCCCTGGGCAATAGGGGACCGTGGGGCCCCTGTGTCTTTGCCCAAACTCAAAAAAGCCTATGAAAAAGGTACCAGGGGCATCTCATGGGGCTCCCTACTGACCCTGGGCCCTCGGGCAGTGCCCGAGTTTCCAAATGGTCAGTCCACCCCCTGTTAGGTGGTGTTCACTTTTAGTTTTACTTAACTACTTGCCTACCGGGCACTTATACCCCCTTCGTGTCCAGGCCAATTTTCAGCTTTCAGCGCTGTCGTACTTTGACAATTGCGCGGTCATGCAACACTGTATACATATTAAATTTTTATCCTTTTTTTTCACACAAATAGAGCTTTCTTTTGGTGGTGTTTTTAGTTTTTGCGATATAAACAAAAAAATAGCAAAAAATTGGAACGAAACAAAGAATTTTTTTTTTTATTATTATTATTATAACATTTTGCAAACAGGTAATTTTTCTCCTTCACTGGTGGGCATTGATGAGGCAGCACGGATGGGCAGCACTGGTGGGTGTCACTGCTAGGCACTGATTGGCACTTGTGGGTGGCACTGCTGGGCACTGATCATCAGTGAACACAATTACAACACCTTCTTCGCTCAGGGACCCAGACCAGTGGAGGGCCGATGTACAATAGTATAACAAGTATAAGGATGTATGGAAGTTCGTCCCAAACCGATCAAAGGCTGTGCAGCTCCAACACAAAGCTGGGGAAGCTTGATACAAACTGTAGTGAAGAACAAAAACAGAGCGCACAAACCTTGCGCATTACCTCAGTAAACAGTTAGTACATTTATTGATTTAGGAGATATATTCACAAGAATAGTAATAAAACTGGCATATAAAATCCAAAAGCGCATCCTACGATAAGGAGACCCATGCGAATCCCATCTGAAGGGGAAATTCTCAGAATGACACGTTTCGAAGGGTGGGGCCCTTCTTCATCAGAGCTTCCCTTCGAAACGCGTCAGCGTCATTCGGAGAATTTCATTTTCGGATGGGATTCGCATGGGTCTCCTTATTGTAGGATGTGCTTTTGGATTTTCTATGCCTGTTGTATTACTACTCTTGTGAGTATATCTCCTAAATCAATAAATTTACTGTCTGCTGAGATAATGTGCAAGGTTTGTGCACTCTGTTTTTGTTCTTCACTACTGATCATCAGTGCCGATCTGTTTTCTGACAATTGCTGGTTAGTGGCAGTACTTTCCTTACGCTGTGACAGTGTGAGTAAAGTGCAGCCGATAACCGGTAACTGCATTTACCCGGTGATCTGCTCTGTCATTGGACACAGCTGATCACGTGGTAAAAGGCGGCTGTGATTGGCCTTTTACTACATCACATGATCAGCTGTGTCCATAGAGACGGGTTCTGGGAGGACGTTATATGACGCCCTCCCAGAACTCTACAACCGCGCTGTAGCCGTCATTCAGCGCGTTGCCAAGTGGTTGAAGTGTTACTAAATCAGGGTGGATTTGATTTAAAATCACTAGTGGAAAGGCTCAATTTAAATAATTTTAAAGAGCAACTGTCATCCCTGTCCCCCAGCGGCTCCTCCTCTGACCGGCTGTTGACTCACCGACAGTCCCATTCACTTTAATGGGATGGCTGGTGATTCGGCAGTGACCACAAGGTGAGGGACGTGGCGGCAGCAGGGGAGTGGATGCCCGCTAACAGGTACTGCCATGATTTATCTAAAATGACAGGTGCTCTTTAAATGTAAGGAATCCAACTCATTCTTGCTGGTAGTTAGAATATTTAATATTTGCAAACCAAATGAAGGTTTCCTTTTTAGAATAATAAGGTGTCAAGTTAGCAAAATCGTGATATCAGAACTGATTTTAGGTTCACCACACATAGCTGGGAGAACGACTCAAATTCTTTTATTTCATGTTTTTTCTCATTGTTACTGTAAAATTGTGTGAATGCATCAATGCAGTGCATGTTATCTCAGCTTGCAGAGCTTGGATTCATTGAATGAGTTTACCAAAAATATAAATATTGCAGAATATACAGCCTCATGCTACATAACTAAGCTCCATTTCGTGCTGAATAAACTCAATTATTAATGTATCTTAAATAGAAAAATCTTTAGATTTTTACTCCAAAAGTATTTTATTAAAATAAATTTGATAAAAATAATCCGATTTAAATAAAAATAAATCCCTTTTTTTTTTTTCTTTATCGATAGTTTTATCCAACCTGTACTAAACCCAGGACCCTGCATTCACTATATCTGGTCTCCCACACTACACAGAACATGGAAGTGCAATTATTTTAGTAAATATAAACTGCTAACTATCTTTGCTCATCAGAAGTTAGAGCAGCCTTGTGACTTCTATCAGTGTCCAGCAGAGCACTGATTACAGCTTGGAGGAGTTTTCATTTTGTTCTAGAAGTATGCAGAACCCCTGACCTCTGTCTGGACAGTGCTGATTGGCCCTGTGCTGATCACATGCACTCTCCCAAGAATAAAAACCTCGCTAGGAATACACACCAAACTGAGCATGTGCAGAGTGACTAAACATGATATATCTTATCGGGAGATAAGAGGGGGACACTAGAGAGAAGGAGAGAATCAGAGAAGTCAGGATCAAACAGCCTTTTTACGCAATGCAGAGGATTAACCCCTTAAGTTCCATGGGGAGTATAACAACATGCTTTACTGCACACACAGACTGATTTTACTGTTGTGGGTTTAGTAACACTTTAAATGATATTAAAAGCAACATTTTTTTCTTTATTAAAATAAAAAGATGTTATATTTACCTGCTTTGTGCAATGATATTCCACAGAGCAGACTTGCATCTTCTGAGTGGCCGTATAGCAAGCCATGTGCTATAGGGGTACCCATGCAGGCACGCTCTCAAGCCGGGCTGTGTGTGTCCATAGACATCTTCCTCTGACAAGAGCAGGAACCTATGGTTCCCACTGCTCTCAGTGTATCCTGTGAATCCAGGAAGAGAGAGTAGTGCTGCTGAAGTCAGGGACGGCGCTGGAATGGTGAGAGGTGTCAGGTAAGTGTTTGGGGGGGAGGTGTACAGAAAAAGAAGTGGGACTTTTTGTTTACCTTAATGCTGGGAATGTATTAAGGTGAAAAATGTTTTGACTTTATACCCACTTTATCAGTAGCATATTATGTGTATAAAATCTGGGGGGTGATTTTTCTCCCTCCTTCAGCTTTACACTTTGTTTTCATGCTTAGGCTAAAGCTGGCTATACACTAGTAGATTTTCAGTTGAATATTTGTACGAACATATGTGTGAAAACTCTTTGTACCTTCAATTGGTGAGAAAATGTCATTTTAAAAGTACTTTAACCACTTTGTAACTGCGCTAAAGCCGAAAGACGGCTACAGCGCGGATTTCCAGTTCTGGGAGGGCGTCATATGATGTCCTCCCAGAATGTGCCCCCAGCGGCGCACACCCGGCGCTGTCAGTGATCGCTGTGTCCTATGGACACAGCTGATCACATGACGAGGTAAAAGGCCAATCACAGCGACCTTTTACCAGGGATGCTGGTTTTCTAGCATGTCCCTTCGACAAAATCCTTAGACTGGCAGCTGTCAGAAGGACAGCTGTTCCCACGGTGCAGATGTTGGCCGGTTCCTGGTGATCCTGCCAATGTTTGGACTTTGTGTACCCAGCTTTAGGCTACAATCACACCAGCAGGTAGATTTCAGTGTTCAGTGGCTGGATTTCAGTGTTTGGCTGCGGTTAAACACTGCATCTGGATGGTGCAGCACTCTGTGACGTGGCCACATACAAACTAGGTAATTGGCTTTGTCTAGTTTGCAGGTGGATGCAAACCGTTTGCACCCAAAGCTTTGTAGAGCTCCTCATTGCATGTTACCACCCAGATGAGTAGTCACACGTGAACAGCGGCAGTGCTGGACACTGCCAAAGTACAAATCTGGCCCTGGCATCTCAGAGCAGTTTTGATGTTCTAGTCAACCTGTCTAAAGAAACAAAAAAATGTCTTTGCAAAAATAGTTTCAAAGACAACCGACTGGCTTTTTATATAGTGTGAATCTAGATAGCTAACTTGGTGTTACCCTGTGCTAGGGAATTGATTCTGCCTGGTGTAGTCACATATTCTAGTTCAGGGGTCTTCAACCTTTAAGACATAAAGAGCCACTTGGACCCGTTTCCGAGAGGGAAAAAAAGACTGGGAGCCGCAAAACCATTGCAACATTTAAAACAAATCCGACACTGCATATATTGCAAAAAGCGCTCTGGTCATGAAGGGGGTTTAAGGGCCCAGCAAGCAAAGGGTTAATCAGGGCCACAGTGTATCGTCATAATCACAATCATAGTCTTAGGTCAGTGGTGGGCAACCTTTTTTTTCAACTGAGCCAAATCTCGCCAAAACCACGATTGAAATTTATTTTGAGAGCCACATTTTTAAAACTGAAAATACATCCCCCATATAGTAATTCATCCCCCATAGTAATTCATCCCCCATATAGTAATTCATCCCCCATAGTAATTCATCCCCCATATAGTAATTCATCCCCCATAGTAATTCATCCCCCATATAGTAATTCATCCCCCCTATAGTAATTCATCCCCCATATTGTGTCAATTCACTTACCTTTGCTCCGCGCGTTCCTCTCGCCGTGTTTCCGCGCCGTTCCGGTCTTCAGGGCGGACTGTGAGAGGAGAGGAGTTCGTCACGCTGCCCCGCCTACATCCTGACAGCCAATGTTTGCCACGCTCCGCGGGCCGGATTAAAAGGTCCGCCGGGCCGTAGTTTGCCCATTGCTGGGCTAGCTGCACAGTCCTGACTTTTGGGGCGGCCGCCCGAGAGGAGGGAGGGGAGCGGGCGCCCGGCACACAGAAGAGCTGCATTAAAAGAGCCGCGGCTTGCCGACCACTGAGCTACGGCAACCCTATTGCCTGTCACCTGGTGGGCAGTGTGCTCCGGAGCCGCAGCAAAGGTGAAAAAGAGCCGCAGTTTGCCGACACCCGTTCTAGTTTAACCACTTCCCATCTGGCCCATGTATATAAATGGCCAGACGGGAGCAGTGCCAAAGCAGTCACCTCCCGCATTCCCTTGCCTGTGCGCACTCCCTGGGAGTACGCGATCCGGTGCCCGCTGTGTGCGGAGGACACAGCAGAGCACTGATCACTGTATGGGACCTCTGTGTGAGGTCCCGATTCATGTGATCACTGATTGGCCAATCAGTGATCACATGAATAGTAGTAAGCAAGATGTCACTTCCTGATATCATTGCTTACTACATGTGAAATCTGTGAATGATCACAGAAGTCACATGGTACAAGGCTATTCACAACAGCCTTGTACCATGTGACACGCCGTGACCAATCACAGCTCTCACAGTATTTCTCAATGGCTGCAAAAATGCAGCCAGAGAGGAGAAATGATTGCTTTTACACCCATAAAGGCTGTAAAAGCTATCAATGTAAAAAAAAAAATCTCTTCATCACCCCCCACAGGTAGTACAGTGTCACTATGGTGACACTGTGCTGCTGGGGTGACAGTATGTTAAAAAAAAAAAAATAAATTTAAAAAAAAAAAATTATACTTTTTTGGTTATAAACTAATTTGTTTTTTTTTTTTTGTTTGTTATTTTTTACTAAAAAGATAAATACATTTTGGCCAAGATTTATGAAGAAAGATTATTTATTTGGAAAATTTTATAAGAAAAACACTTATTTTTTAAAAATGTTTGGACTTTATTTATATAGCAAAAAAAAAAAAATCCCAGTAGTGAATAAATACCACCAAAATAAAGTTTTATCTGTCTCAAAAAAAATGCTAAAAAAATTCATATGGGTACAGTGTTGCATGACCGTGCAATTGTCATTCAACGTGGGATAGCACTGAAAGCTGAAAATTGGCCTGGACTGGAAGGGGGTGAAAGTGTCCGGACTTGAAGTGGTTAAAGGTGCCTTGCAAGTGAATAAAAAAAATTATTTAAGAAGTGAAACTCTGCAAGTAAGCATTTATAACACTTGATTATCTGTTTTTCTCTGCATATTGGTGACAGAGTCTCTTTAAATCCGCAGGTGATATTTATATCCAAAGGAAGGGATCCAATGCAGTCATTTATGATGCCTTTCTACTTGATGAAGGATTGTGAAATCAAGCAACCAGTTTTTGGGGCTAACTTCCTCAAAGGCGTTGTGAAAGCAGAACCTGGTGGTAAGATCAACATTCACAGCCATTATACTGTAAACCAGGGGTCTCCAAACTTTCTAAACAAGGGCCAGATTACTGACCTCCAGGCTTTAGGGGAACCGGACTGTGGCCAGTGGGAGTACACGATGCCCCATCATTGGTGTCAGTGGGAAACTTTTTATTGGCTTTAGCAGGAAGAATCGTGCCCCATCAATGGTTTCAGTTGGAGGAATGAGGTCCCATCATAGTTGTCACTTGGATGAATAGTGTCCCAAGGGCCAGATAAAGGCAAGCAAAGGGCTGCATCTGACCCCTGAGCCGCAGTTTGGAGACCACTGACTAGTCTTGGTTCACACCTATGCATTTTCTGCTGCGTTTTGCGGAAACACACAGCAGTTCATTTAACATGATTTCCTATGGGACAGGTTCATATCTCCACGTTTTTTGGAAAGGGTCAGGGATTTTTTTAATCGCAAAACGTTTTGGTTCTATAGACTTCAATGGAGACGCTGTAGAAAAGCATGTAGTGCCTTTTTGTTTTTTATGCATTTTGCATTTTAATCTGGCCAGGAATAAGAAAAAAAAGCATGTGTAAAAATGCACAGCAGAATCGGATCAAACGCAAACTGCATAGGTGTGAACCTAGCATTCAACAAAGCAAAATGGTCATGTTCTGTAATCTGTGCTTCATCTGCAGGTGGCTGGGAAGGCGCTGCCACATTTAAACTCAACTTTCCAGCTGGGGGAGCTATAGAGTTTGGACAGTACATGTTACAGGTGGCCTCTCAAGGTAAGTAGCATTTAATTAAAGTGGAACTTCACTCTCTCAATAAACACTGACTATTTTGAATCCTTATGCTGCTAGCATTAGTAAATAGATAGGAAAATATATCATTTTTTTTTTTGTTTGTTTTAAACCATTTTTTTTTAAAATTTCTTTAGTTACGTCATAGTTTCCATGCCTAGGCAAATTATTTCTTACATCCCAGACTTTAGGAGGGGAGGAGTGGTTTTCTCAGCTAAGCACACCTTCCTGCCTGCATGCCTGAGCTAGGGGCAGAAGGATTCCAGGAAATAAGCAATACATGAATCTGCCCTTTCTCAAAATGGCCACGGCTAGCGCAGGGGTGTCAAGCTAGCGGCCCTTCAGCTGTTGCGAAACTACAAGTCCCATGAGGCATTGCAAGGCTGGCAGTTACAAGCATTACTCCCAAAGGCAGAGGCATGATGGGACTTGTAGTTTCACAACAGCTGGAGGGCTGCCAGTTTGATACCCCTGTGCTAGGGGGTGTTTTTCTAAATGATTTCTCAGCAAAATAAAGTATAGAGACATGGATGGATGAGGATGGACTGCTTTGAATATTAAAAATGAAGCAAATTGTGTGTTTGGTTTGCAGTGCTCAGATGCAGTGTAGTTCTGCTCTAAAGTGTATGTATGGGCAAAAAAACCCCATATTTTTCCGATACATGCTTATTTCCCCATATTTTTGCAAATGAATAAACATACTAGTTGATCTGCCAAAATCCAGTGAGCTTCTACTGCATTGAATTTCCAAGCAGTTTGATCAGTCCTGGCTAGTGCTTTGTGTTGACTACAGAACAAGTCTGTTATGGAGAAGAAGAGAGAGGAGGTGTTCTGTAGTCTCAACACACGTATTGTTCTGGAGGGGGGGGGGGGTGGGTGGTTCTTTCATAAGTACAGTAGGTGAACATTGTAACTTTTAGTTTAGATACACTTTAAAGTAGACCTTGCACTACACGTGAAGTCTGCTGTTTGTTTTTGCTGCCCCTTACCCTTGCTGAGTCACATAAAGTTATAAAAAGAAAAAAGGAAAAAAAAACATCTTTAGGGAAGAAAATATATCCGCCTTTCCTCTGGTTCATTGTTTCAGGGGGTGATGTCAGCATCCTCCAACAAGGTCCTAAGGAATGCTGAGCACTCCAAATCTCGCAAGAAGACCTTCAGCACAATGCTGGGAGATTCTGATCAGCGAGATCTGGCATAATCTACATTCCGTAGATCCTGCTGGAAGGTGGATGACATCACCCCTGCCTAGGCATTGTGGGTGAAAGGGAAAACTTTTTTTTCCTCTTACAGGTGATTTTTTTTTTTTTTTTTTCAACTTTTTAAGGTTGTTCAGCAAGGTGAGTGTTCTAATTTCTATCCAATGTTCTATATTAAGCAGCTTCAAGAGGAGGACCTCCAGGAGGTGGATTTCCTTATATGCCTAATGGAGGTTATGCCTACCCACCTCCAGCAGCCAATGGTATCTATCCTCCCTCTCCTGCTGCTGCTGGGTATCCTTTTCCACCACCACCTACAGGTGAGTATTTAGTATAGCCCTATGCCTTGCTACATTTTTTTACATTTCCTAGACCAGTATTTCTCCTTTGTTCAGTCAAGGCACCCTTGAAAATTATGGACAGTCTTGAGGCAGTTTGTAAAAAAACTATTATTACCTCATTAAAAAAAAAAATGTAATAGTTTTATATAATGCTGCAACATCCGCGCATGTAGGACACAAAACGTTAGAGGTGATTTATTCTTCCAAAACAAATACACTTTTGCACACTGGTACTGACTAGTATTCCAATGTTTCTTTTCTCCTTCCTCAGTGTTCTCCATCACTGAGCTGATGTGATGGAGAGGGGCAGGGGAGGGTCACAGAAGGATGTTGTGCAGGCAGCAAACATCCTCCTTATCAACTGATGATGTCATTGGTTGTCAGGATGTAATGGTGCTCAATGAAAATCTGTAGCTTTGTGTAACTTAAAAGCAGGCTTGTTCTACCCGCTGGCCTGTATACAAGATTTGGGTAATTTTTAGGCATTTTGCCAAGGCACCCTAGTTGAAGAAGGCTGTCCTAGACACTTATGCCACTAAACTCGTGTCAAATATTTTAGAACAGTAAGACCAGGCCCTATATGCTAAAGTTAGACTTAACCAATTACAAACATGGACACGTAGGTGATTACACCCAAATGACAGTTTCTTTTTAATTGACCACTTCCCGTCTAGCCCTTTTATATAGATGGGAGCAGTGCAGGGGTGGGTGGCTGTTTATAAACGTCCTCCCCTCTCCCTGCTTGTGCGCGCTCCCTGGGAGACACCAATTGTTGTACGGGACCTCTGTGTGAGGTCCCGATCATGTGATCACTGTTTGGCCAATCAGTGATCATATGAAGAGTAGTAAGCAAGATGTCACTTCTGACATCATTGCTTACTACGTGTGAAATCTGTGAATGATCAGAGGTCACATGGTACAAGGCTATTCACAACAGCCTTGTACCATGTGACAAGCTGTGACCAATCACAAGCTGTGACCAATCACAGCTCACACAGTATTTCTCAATGGCTGCAAAAATGCAGCCAAAGAGAAGGAAAAATGATTGTTTTTACAGCCTTTATGGGTATGAAAGTAATCCGTGTAAAAATCAGCCCCCACAAGTAGTACAGTGTCCCTATGGTGACACTGTACTGCTAGGGAGACAGTATGTTAAAAAAAACATAAATCATAATATAAAAAGGTAAAAACAATTTAGAAAAATAGTTTTTGGTTATAAACTAAGTTTTTTTTTTTTTTTTTACTAAAAAGATAATTGAATACATTTTGGCCAAGATTTATGAAGAAAGCTTATTTATTAGCAAAATTTTAAAAGAACAACACTTTGTTTTCTAAGTTTTTGGACTTTTTCATTTATATAGCAAAAAAAAAAATCCCAGTGGTGAATAAATACCACCAAAATAAAGTTTTTTTTTTTTTTTTATTATCTGTCTCAAAAAATGCTACAAAATTCATATGGGTACAGTGTTGCACGACCGCGCAATTGTTATTCAAAGTGTGATAGCGCTGAAAATTGGCCTGGACAGGAAGGGGGTAAAAGTGTCCGGATTTGAAGTGGTTAAGAAATGATCCCCCCATCCTTCCAATGAATTAAAAAAAAAAAACAAAAAAACTGTTTAACCTTAAAAAAATATCTGACAGGTAAGCACCTATTTCTGTCTGTGCTCCCTCTGGGAGTCCCCTGCTTCCACCTCCATTCTAGGAAACAGAAGAAGTGAGAGGAAATCTTAATGCCCCAGTGTCTAGATATATCACCAAAGGGTTGAACCCCTTGTTAGGTTTTTGTTGTCTCCCTGCTTTGGACATTCACCCTCTCTCTTTGTGTGATGACTGGTTTCATTCAGTACTGTGCTGCCCAGTCCAAAATGTCAGTTGTCACTACAACGGGAATAGAAGGGAAGTCTTCCAAATGGACACCTGTTTTAGCTGGAGCTACCTACGAGAGGATTTGTCTTCACTTTGGAGAGATTTAATCTACCAGATGGGTAGTGGAAGGAATTCTCCCCAACGGGACACAGAAATGAAATGGACTACAATTGACACCCAAACAGGAAGGCACAGATAGCATGTAAAACCCTTCCCTAGTTCACTACCCTCTTGGCAACAATGACCTGTAAGTATCCTCTTCTGAGAATTTTCCAAGTTCCTTGCTGATCCTGGCATCCCTCAACTATCCAACTGTAAGTTGCACCACTGGCCCTGGTGTGTGAGCGCTGTATATGGAGAGGGTGTCTTTAGGGCCACTGACGAGCCTTTTTCATTGAAGCTTGTAAGTGTATTTAATTATATTCTGTTCAGTAAATCCTCTGAGTAACGTATATAAGGTTTGTGCACTCTCATTATATATTGTAATATTACCCTAGCTTCACACCTAAGCGTTTGCTGCAACATTTTGCAGAAACGCAGTACAGTCCATTTAACATGATTTCCTATGGACATGTTCACACCTGTGCGTTTTTGTTTTTTGTTTTTCTTTGGAATGGACCAGGGAATGCAAATTTTTGAATGCAAAAAGTTGCGCCTTTTATTTCAGCACTACACACACACACACACACACACAGTGCTGAAATCAAAAACGCAACTTTTTGCATTCAAAAAAGTCCCTGGTCCTTTCCCAAAAAAAAAATGTGTGTGTGTGTGCGTGTGTGTGTGTGTATATATATATGTGTGTGTGTGTGTGTGTGTGTGTGTGTGTGTGTGTGTGTGTGTGTGTGTGTGTGTGTGTGTGTGTATATATATGTATGTATGTATGTATGTATATATATATATATGTGTGTGTGTGTGTGTGTGTATGTATGTATGTGTGTATATATATATGTATGTATGTATGTGTGTATATATATATATATATATATATATGTGTGTGTGTATATATATATATATATATATTTATATTAAGAAAAGTGAGGAAGCTTTTTGAAGAACCCTCATTATACTCATTTTATTATACTATGATTGTCCACAAATATACAATTAAAATCATAAGTATATTAAATGCCCTGTGTTTTGATTTTTCTGCTTGCCTATATAATCTTTTAGAATTCTACCCAGGACCTCCAATGCAAGACAGTTCGATGGCATATATGCACCCACCTCCTCCTCCTTACCCAGGCCCTATGCAGACTCTCTCAGCTTCTGCCCCTGACTTGCCTTCTACTCCAGCAGGTAAGATGTTACAGTCAGTGAAGACATATAGAAAAGGACAGTGATATGTTCCTTTTTCTTCTAGCTCACGTGTGTTCCCAAGCAGTGATGTTGGTAGGTGACACAAGCCAAGCATTGTGGGCTCTGACAAAGTCTTCCATCTACCAGTGACATTAATTGTAGATAAATGTCTAATTATGAACGTACTGTTTCTTTTGCTGCCTACCTGCTGGCAACATTCTTTCTTTATTACTGGGTTATTCTGCTATATACAGAGAAAGTGGTGAAAGGGCATGGCAAGGTGGCCTGTTCAAAGAGCAGACAGGTTTGAAGTGAACTAGACATATAAATATTTACATATTCTAAGCTGTCACTGAGCTTTGTAGCTGAAAAAACTGTAAAGAAACTCATCCTCAAAACTCACAGAAGTACTTACACCCCGGTCACACCAAACCCAACTTTGAAATCTTGCGGCTTACAGTGAAGTCGCACGTCTCAAAATCAGATGACTTGCCAATTTCAGATGCGATTTGTAAGACATCTGACACTGATGTCTATGCAAATCACACCAAAAGTAGTGCATGTACTACTTTAGAAATCGGTGCGGCTCGGATATGACCGCTCTAATTGCGGACAATAGAGTGCGACGTGGCATGTGATTTGCACATCGTATGCTGATTCGCAACCAGTGTGACCGGGGACTTAATGTCCTTTCATACCCCGCTGCCCCCCCCAAACAGCAACTCAGCCTGTAGGCTTCAATGTAGCCAAAGAGAAGGAGCTGTGGGAGGAAAGCAGGGTTCATTGAACTGTTGAGAAAGCAACCTGAACGACTTCAGTGGTTTTGCTGTGAAATTTGAGAATGAATTGTACCTGCAGCTACATATGTCAGTGAGGGCTTATTGTAAAGTTCATGTACTGCTTGTTAAAGGTACTAATATAATGAAAGCTCATTTTTGTTTTTTTTTGGGGGGTGGAGAAACAGTTTTATTTATCTGATGCTGCACTCCCCTGCAATCTGGTGGTGGAATCCTCACGTCCAGTACAGGGCTGTGGACCCTGCTCTGGTCTTGATGACGGCAGGACCGTAAACTTGTTGAGCATGAGAGTGCAGAAGCTGCAGAGGACTGGTCTAGTTGCATTTTTTTTTTTCCTGTAGACAAAAACTAGCACTTCAACCTTGCAGTGAGGGCACAGCTCAAAGTTGGGCTTTAAATTTTCATAGCCTGGCCAAAAGTTCACTTTAAGCCAGCCTGGTAGGTGTGGCCCCAAAAGCAATATGGCCCCAAGACCTGACGCAATCCTTCTCGGGAATTGCCAGGGGCATGTATGTGATATGATATGACTCTTCACTTGTTTGAATAGAACAGCAAGGATCAGATTTTCCATCTTGCTGCATTAGGTCCTCCAACTACCTGGTTCTTATTACCAACTTGCAGCACTACAGAAATAACTCAAGTTGGAAATAATGCTCAAAATATGAATCCCGATACTTGCCACTTACTGACCCATCCACATCCTAAATTACTTTTAGTTAGTAATCAAACTACTGGTCTCTATCCCCCTTTTTAGCTTCTTGAACCAGTTGTGTAATGTGCTATATATTTTGTGTGTGACTTTCTGTAATATTTGTGTACAGTAATTCCCTATGCCTATTCTCTAGATGCTCTTTCGGGAAAGCTTAGATTTGCTCATTACTTCTGTCCGCTATGAGTAGTAACATGGAGAGGTCCATCCAGCACAACTTGTCATACTGCCCAAGGCCTGGGAGCCACTGTTTTTCAGTTGTCCTCCACTGCCATCTCCTGGGGAAAGCTGGCATTGCTGCTTGACCACTTAAAATAATGGTGTCATAAGGGTATTGTTTAAGGGGTATATGTAGTATTTTCAATTTTCTTTTTTTATCTTTCATTATGGGACAAAAAAAGTAAGAATTCTAAAACAGTCAGGTTATTGTGCTGTCCTGCCTCTGAACACCATGCCTCCATTTTTTTTACTAGTTTGCAACCTCTAGAAAGTTAGACACCTTTTCTTCAGCTCCACTGAGAAGCTCTGTCTATAGTTTTTCTAGCCTTTTCTTTACATTTATTTTCTTTTTTTTTTTATTTTTTTTAATTAAGATACCCAAAATTTGAAATATGTTGCTTGAGCTTAGATGCTTAAAAGCATCCTAGAGTCCTATCATCTGCAGACCTTATTTAGAAACGATTTGCTAAATATCTAGTACTAGTAATCTTGGATCACAATTGAGGGAAGATTTTGTATCACTAAAACAGTTTACTTGCGATCAAGTTGGGTACAACCAGCTTGTCAGATTTTTTACATGCAATTACTGGTTGCTGGTTCATTCAGCTAGCAGTTTCCCCTTCGGGTCGGTTCACACTATAGAAGATGTGTTTCTGCATGCACGTTCTGGTGCATTTTTGATGCTTTCAAGTTCATTTTTTTTCCCGTCTTTTTCTTCAATTGAAATAGGGACATGTACGTTGCAGTGTGTTTTTGGTGCATTCTGGTGCTTTTTTGATGCGTTTTACCATGTTCCAGTGCAGTTCTGTGCAGGAAAAATGCAGCCTGTTTTTTACTTTTTTTTTTTTTTGGAACTGCAAGCACTGATGTGAACTATGACATTGACAAACCATATGACCTACTTTTTGTGCGTTTTGGATGTAGAAAAAAAAGCAACTGAAATGCTTGTTGTAGTGTGAACTAGCCCTTAGTGGTGATTATCTGTTCTGGTCTGAGGAACCAGGTTGATCTTCAGTGCCATCTACTTGCGGCAGTTTTCTCTACTTGGTTTGGCCTTTCCTAATCTAGCTTTGAGTTCTCCACATTTGTTGGATCTCTCAGTGGTTGTTGCCCAGCTCTCAGTAGGACTGATTTTGGACATCCTGACTCCTAAAGAATACCTAAATCCCTGCAGCCTTAGTGTCCCTAAACCCATAACCCTGCATTCACTATGACTGGTCTCCTACAGAACACACAACATTGAAATGCATTTATTTTAGTAAATATAAACTGCTAAATATCTTTTTTCATCAGCAGTTAGAACAGTCTTGTGACTTTTATCAGTGTGCAGCTGAGCACTGGTAAAATATTCTATAAAAAATTATTTTGCGCTTAGTGAAACAAAAAGCAAAAAGAATGCTGCTCCCGCGCTGAATAATAACCTTATAACAATCTAAACGTACACTCGGTGCGTATCTCTACATTTATAACAATACAATATACACTTGTGAACCTTCTCAATACAAAAAGGCTAACAAACCACAACTTTATAATAGATAAGTGCAATCCGCCATATGAAAAGTGACACCAGCCATATAAAAAGTGCTCAGTCCAACATATATTCTCAGAGATTCAATCAAATCTTGAAAGATGGTGAGCAAACATGATTCCTCCACCAAATAAATGATCAGCCTCTTACCAAAAATATTGATCTCACTTTCCAGAGATCAATACATGTTTTTGTGTGCTCATACTGGACACTCATCTCACTGATAGGATACTTTTCATTTTGTAGGCGTTTTCATTCTGCTTTGACTGTCCTTTTGAGGCTGCAAAATTCTTGACCCTCTCTCTGGACAGTGCTGATTGGCCCTGTGCTGATCACATGCACCCTCCCAAAGAAAAAAAAAAGCTCTAGCAATACACACTAAACTGAGCATGTGCAGAGTACTTCCTAGAGCTCTGTACTATCAGCAGAAGGACTGGGGACAGTTGAAGGGAGGAGCAGAGAAGACCGGATAAAACAGCCTTTTTACACAATGCATAGGATTAACCCCTTAGGTTCCACAGTGAGTATAACAAGCATGCTTTACAGCATATACAGACTGATTTTACTGTTGTGGGTTTAGGAACACTTTAATAAGATTTTTGTACTTGCCATAAAATCTCTTTCTTGAAGTGCATTGTGGGACACAGGTCTTGTCCCGCTGTGTATTTTTTTTTTACACCTTCAAGAAGTAAAAAGCAAGTCGTGTTTTGGCCAAAAAAATAATCAGGCAATGTATCAAAATGGAGAAGAAATATTTACCCCGTTTTAGATTTTTTAAGTATAATTTTCATGGGAGAAATATGAGCAATGCCATTGCTGACCTCCCTCTGTAAATGCTAGCGGGATAACTATTATGCTGCCCTCTGGTTTCTGTACTTTCTGGTTACTGACATCCAACAAGTATGCATATCTGAAAAATCAGAGTAAAGTTAGACGTCCTCCTTTCCTTTTATTTTTTTTTTCTTCTGTTTGAATAGTGTTTTTTACTGACCAGAATTTTAAAAAATTGTTAAACAATTTTTCTTACACATTTATGCTTTTTTGTAGCTGAGGCCAAGGCTGCGGAGGCAGCTTCCAGCGGATACAGCAGTACCAACCCTCCCAATGTTTTCATGCCAATGGTAAGCCTACTAAGGTGACACTAATATTGATATAACATTGATCATATTGATATGAGTGTGGCCACTATAACACCCATAATTACTCAATATTGTCAAGCATTTGATGCGATCTGATTTGAATGGAATACAAATTTCAAGCCACACACACTGATTGATTTAGTGAATTTTTGTTGCAATAACTGACAGATGTGAAATTTTATTGATCGCTCAAATATTTGTGTGTTTGCTGGAGAACCTATTGTAACAGAGCTAGATCTAGTTTTAATCTGTCTTTTACATTTATGACTGATCAGTTTTTAAACAGTACATTGTTTGAGTCATTCAATGTCTTAATCCAGTGGTGGTCAACTCTCACAGTATAGGAGAAAGCAGAGAAAAAAAAAATACATAAATAGAAAAAAGGATGGACAACCAGAAAAAGTAAGAGGGGAAAATTAAAAAGCCATTTAACTACTAAAAGCCAGTCTAAAGAATATTTTCCTTCACTGGCTTGAGTAAGCACCTAGGTAAGGAAAACACAGAGTACTACTATCTTCATGAGCCCTGAGGGCCGCACAGTAAGTCCCCAAGGGCTGCAGGTTGGGCACCAGGGTTTTGATTGATGAAGAATCGCTTATTAGTAATCATTAATACATAGACTGATCAGAATTTGCTATGTGTATGGCCACCTTAGAGTACTCCATAGTGTAATCCATATTTTCTTTTTTCTTCAGGATTTTCCTCCACCTCCTCCTTACTTTCCACCGGATCAAAAGAAAAACCAATAAAACACCTTTTAACTAAGAACCAAGTACCTGTCATTCCTTTGTAGCTTCCTAACATGAAGCCGGATCTTCCAAAGACACTAATCCTGTATCATTCCTGAAGATAGTCTTCCTGCTAGTAAGGCCCCATAGCTCATTACAGCATAACTCTTGGCCCAGCCACTTGTCCTCCAGTATCTCCTACACTGTATGTTTTTTTTTTCTTGTTTTTTTTTCTTTTTTTTTTAATACTTACCACTTCCAGATGTCTCCAGACCAGTCACTTGACATAATGTGCCCTCTGCTAAAGAGGTGGTCCTCAAGGATGCAGAGAGCAATGCTTACATGGTTACAGCAGCATCACTCTTTGCAGCATTACACATTGAATGAAGGGTGCTGTGGTGATACCCCCTTAGGGGTAGGCCCATGTCCTTAGTCAAAGGGGTTGAATGACGCTGGGTGGCATTTAACCTAGAAGGCTGAGAACATCTTGTGGTGAAAATGAGGTTAAAGTTAAGTATTGAAGCCTGGGATGCCTTTTTTGTTTTTTAAGCTGCTGGGGGGAGCTTTTGCAATTACAAGATAGGCCCAGAATTGGCCATTAACATTTCTGATTCGCATAGGATAGGCTTCTTTTGGCAGAACAGCTCCTAGTCACCCCCAGATCTCATCAGGAAGCTCATTCTCTGACCGTTCTGTCCTGCACATCTGAATCATAGCAGACTGGACTGTACTGCATCCTGCTATAATAAGCATGCACTAATCTTCATCTCTGTCATTTGATTGCTGTGTTTATGCAGATAATTTAAAATTTGTATTTATTTTGAAGGAGTCAAAGTAGAAACATACTGTACATAATATTAAACCAAAATAAAAATTTAATAAGCTGTCATGTCTGTTTATTTTGGTAAAAGAGATATGAAAATTGATATAGATATATAGTATGGCTAAAAGTAAGTGGACACCCTCCAAATTATGTTCAAGCATTTACAGTGAAGGGTACTGTTAGACCTCAATCAGACAACTAAATGAGTCCAAAAAAACTGCTGCAGAGGTAGCTGCGACTAGTTTGTGTGCAGCAAGATATGCTGTCACTGGACGCACTCCCTGGGCCCAGGGCCAGTCAAAAGCTTTATTTGCATTTAACTGTTGAGTGGTTTCATGCAAACCGTAGGCGCACTTGCCATTCATTGTGCAGGTGACCACACTGCTGCTGTTCACATATGCTGTGTGCTTGTAGCTGCAGCTCTGCAGGCATCCACCTATGTAAACTGGGCTTTTTGTAAGCTAGATCTTCTTGTCCTACATCAGTACCTGACCTCACAAATGTTTTAGTTCCTGACCAGCTATTAATATTTAGGTAATATGAAGAACTTTTATTATGCCTTGAAAAGAGACCTGGAGCAAAAATAATTTAATATGTATCTAGTTTAAAATCTTAAAATGTGATATTTTATTTGAGAGGAAAACACACACAGATTGGGGTGTATTTGAGCAAATTGCTATGGTAATATTTTCTAGTGAAAGTGCATATACATTGATTCTGTGTGAATGGGACAAAAGGAATGTTGTTAGGCTATTTTATGTTCTGAACAAATGTTTTTCATTGATTTCAAATGGGAAATATTGCATTTGGCCAATAGATGGATTAAATATTATGGAAAATTCTTTAGTTTCTTTTTTTTTTAATGAAAAACATTTGTCCAGCACATGAAATAGACTGATTACATTGCATCATGCTGGATAATGTTTTTAAAAAAAAAAAATCAATGTTTCTGTACGCAGGAGTCTTTGCATTGTGCTGGATGACACCTCTCCATCTTGCCATGCACCTTTTAGGTACAAAGTAACCCTGTAAATCCTGGCCCAGCCCTGCAACCAGCTCTTGCTGTCATTTCAGTATATCACACTTCAGCTAACTGCACTAGGATAATAAACAATCAACAACCTGTTTTTTCAAGATTGTGCTGTTACAATACAGTTACAGCAATTGCTTTCTCCTCTGCTTTTTTGTGTTGATATTCCTAGAACATATCATGAGACAAATTCCCATAATAGTTCTATTTTTTTTCGTTCACGTGCAGAATGTCATGGCTTAAAGCTTGGATTCAAAAGACTCCTCACCCACATGCCCTTCCAAGGGTGGCACCTGTTTGCTGAGGCACTCGACCTCAAGTATCAAAGAAGTCTCCAGTGGAAACTTGTTACTTTCCCAATAGAGTATTCTAAAAACCCTCTAGCTTCCCAAAATGCAGAGCACATACACACCCTATCTACACTTCAACTTAAAAGAGAAGTATGGGTTTTCATATTTTAGGTTTTTCCTATTCCCTGTGAGCTGCTCATACATAAAATAAAAAAAAAAAATCTTTCCAGCCCTCTGAGAAGTGCACCCCTTTCTGTTAAAATCAAGGTAAATACCTGTGGGAGAGGCTTCAGTCTTCTTAGGATTCTTATGCTGACAGTCTTGTCTGTATCCACTTCCTTTGCTTTTCCTATAGTATAAATACTCTTTGGACCTAAGAATAATCGATTGATTTTTGCTCTGTTAGTGGGTCAATGACACTGGCTGATTTTCGTTGTTCCTCCCCTTTTCAGTGATCAGGCATGTTGGAAAATTCGTGAAAAAAACGACAGATTTTCAACTCAATGATGGTCAAATCGTACGATCGTTTTTCCGAAAAGAATATGCACATGAGCTGTGACCTAGAAGGAACAGAAGTTTCGCCTGTTATATGGGGTGAACTTTATGACTTGTTCGGCCAATTTTTGAAATCATTGATGGCACCATCGGATTACTAAGCAAACAACATTTTTGATTTTCAGACAAAAAATAATTCGGAATTCGACCCATGTATGGCCTGCATTAGTAAATCAACCCCATGGGGTTAAAATACAATCTTCCCATTTACTTTGCTTCTTTAGGAGAGGTTTTTAGTATGGGCATTCCAATTTGCTCTTGAATCCCTCATTTTCTGCATTCCATTTAAGGATCGAAAGTACTTTAGGAAGCTTTCTTTTTCATCTTTAAATAACTGAATTTTAATCTTTAATGCTTATTATGGATCTTCAAACACAAGACAGAATAAGAAAATTCTGACTAAGCTTTAACCAGAATCCCTGTTGTGGAGAATTATGTTGACCCCTTTCTCCTTGTGGTTTAAAACGGTTTTGCTTCCCTCCCAAGTAATTTTATTGGAAGTCATCAGAAGTTATAGAATAGAACAACTGTATACAGCAATAACAGATACATTGTAGGTATATTGTTTTGTGGGTGCAGTACCAAAGATCCCTTGCAAGTCTCACAAAGCTTAGTCCTTGCATTTCAGTACGTAAGAGCATAAGTAGTATATATTGTGTACAACAATGAAAAGTTGAAGCTAGAGAGCCATTTTTGAGCATCCCAACCAAGGGCCACCCTTTGCTGCTAATTAAGTGTGGGCTTGGTTGAAGGGTGAAATCCCTTTTTGCAAAAAAAAAGAAAATCTTTAAAGTGGTAGTAATGTCACTTTTTATATTTTTACCTATAGGTAAGTAAAATGAATATCTCCTAAATGCTCACCATTGAGGAGATATTCTACAGAGCAGTAGCCGGTGACACTACTGGTGCATGCACCAGGGCATACCCATGCTGTTCCTTCAGAGCTGTGTGCCATGGCCGAATCCCCCATGTGTGGGAGTGACGTCATCGACGGCTCGGCCGTTCAAGCAGCTGCAGCCCGAGAACCTTGAAGGAAGACCAGGTGGAGATGGAAGCCTTCTGCAGCAGTTATACTTGGAGGGCTTCGTTCTAAGGTAAGTCTTTCATAATGTGCTAGTATGAAATGCACACTAGCACTTTAATATTACCTTGCAACAGGAAACTTTTTTTTTTTTGTAAATGAGCTCCTAGTGGAGCCTGAAGGAGGTTGTAGGTGAGATGTTTTTGATTTTTCTTAAATCTTTGTTCATCGCTGTCATGATTTACCTTTAACATGCTTTAAAGGTTTCAGACAAGTTTGAGGTTTTAAATGCTCAACATTAGATACTTTGCTATTCTTTGAGACATAATGCCCTAGTTTACAAGTAACAACAGGCAGTACTACATTTTTATATATATATAAGGTGCAGCGCTAAAATAACATAAATATATTATAGCATAAAATCAAGTGAAAATATCAGATCACACTGAGGTGAAATTGAGTGAATAAAAAGTCCCAAAATAAAGGCCCAACGTGGGGATCCGATAGATCCTAATGGGTGCGTGGGGTAAAGTTCCAGTGTACCACACGGTGAATCTGGGGTAAAAATTGCGCACTCACCAGAAGTGCGTCAAAAATACGCATATAAGATTTATCCTGTTGTATCAGGTAGCGGTCATCAACTGCCAAGATAGGGTGCTACAGTATGTGGACGTCTGACCACCGCTGGTGGCCATCCTGAGCAGTATCTGGTCAGTGTTTACTTACATTTCATTTTACCCCTACAATTCATGTTGTGTTACTTTCTGATTCAATAAACTCAGTGTATACGGTATCACACTATGTGGTGTCCCTTATTGGGCTCTCTTCAATAAGAGTCCCCACTTGCAGAACCTGTTCAAAAAGGGGACCCCAGATGGTGACACATCTGAGACACGTTTAAGAATCTTGGAGTGCCTACCCCCGAGTTGCGATTGGAAGGTGTATGACCCTGACCCTATCTTGGCAGTTGATGACCGCTACCTGATACAACAGGATAAATCTTACATGCATATTTTTGACGCACTTCTGGTGAGTGCGCAATTTTTACCCCAGATTCACCGTGTGGTACACTGGAACTTTACCCCACGCACCCATTAGGATCTATCGGATCCCCACGTTGGGCCTTTATTTATTTTGGGACTTTTTATTCACTCAATTTCACCTCAGTGTGATCTGATATTTGCACTTGATTTTATGCTATAATATGATATTTATGTTATTTTAGCGCTGCACCTTTATTTATATATATATATATATATATATATATATGTACTTTATTGGAAGGTTTTTTCTTTGTCACCTTTTCTGGTGTTCTAGCTGCTATCTTTTATAGATTCCCGGATAGCGCTTGCATATTATCTCTTTATTACTTTAGTACTACATTTTATTAGGTGATCAAACCTTGTCAGTGTTTAAAGGACCCTGAAATTACTCATAAAAAAATCCTAACAGGTATAAAGTGCAGGCCCTTAGGAAAGCATGTCAGCTGCCTACAATTCCTACAGTTACATCTGAATCCATTCTGATCAAGAAAACCTTCCCCACCCCATGTTTTCTCATGCACAATCTTAGTGATTAGTAAGACAGCCCATCATACTGCTGGACCAACAGAACTGTGTGGGTGGAGGAAAAGGAAGGAGTCGGCTAATTTTGACACTACTAGGAAATTATGGAGCTTTGCCTGATCAGAACTGTCCAGGATTCAGCTGTATTGGCAAGGACTGAAGCAGATGTGGATGAATGGGAGCATCTCTAATGAGGTACCTACACGCATAATAGAATGTTGCTGGCAGTTAAAGTAGAACTACAGGCAAAATTTTTTTTTCATTAGAGAACGCAAGAGAGGGTTATAACCCCTGTCAGATTTTGTTTTACGTCACCTGTGTCCCATTGCAGATTTAGCTTTGCTTTCTGTCCCATAGCCTAACATGAAATGAGAGGAAATCTCTGCAAATTAATGAAATTCCTTGAATACTCCCCCAGGTCACCAGAACTAGTGTCCACATTGGAAGATTTTCCCTCTATTACTTTTCTGGGGACAACCCAAAATTTGGGATTTTCTTTTACTGTCACTTTCAATGATAACGGTAAACAGGACAAATTGAGAGGGTAGATCGCCTTAATGGGAACACAGACAGCAATACAAACTGGCAAGCATTCTAATCCCTCTCCATTCTATCCAAAACAAAAAAAAAAGTTTTGCCTTTAGTTATACTTTACCAGTAAGATTGGGAATTGTTCAGATGTTTTTTAGGCACCTCTGTGGCATGGGAAATGTAATCAACTGGGATGAATTTTAACATTCGATCATATATATGAAAAAATACTTCAGCGCAATAGGTACCTAATTAAAATTATGCAGCTAGCATGTGATGTGTTCCCATATAAAATTTTATGCACTGCACTTTCTATTGATTATTTTAACATTCGATCATTAATATTTCCATAGAGGGAGCTGGTAGTGCAGCATTACCTTCTTCAAACTTTTGAAAGTTTGCCTGGAGCCAACTTGGATGTTTGTAGAATGATTTTCCTTTACAAAGGATTCTGCATCCTGGTTGTGAATACACAATTGGCTGTCATCTAATGCATGGAGGAAGATTAAACCTAATTGTAGCTACCCCCCACTATTCTGGCCTTTACTTCCCCCTTGGAGCACTTCACACCTTGTTTGTTTAAATCTATATAGGTACCTTTCTAGGTTACTTACTTTATTCAGGTTGAGTGATATTATGGGCCCTTTTTCTGCCATATGGTGGTGGGTAGATTCTGACTGCTGCAGATTGCTGAACCATGTAATGCCAATCTCTACAACATTCTCCTCTGAGTCCAGTATGACCTGCTGATGCACCCCCAGGCGATGAGCCCTTGATGCCTTGAGCTCGCAGTACATATAACTGAATTGCAGCATTATCTGATTAGATGCAGTCACTATTCAGTCAAAAATTTTCTACCTACAGTGCCTTGAAAAAGTATTTATATCCCTTGAAATTTTCCACATTTTGTCATGTTACATCCAAAAACGTAAATGTATTTATTGGGATTTTATGTGATAGACCAAAACAAAGTGGCACATAATTGTGAAGTGGAAGGAAAATGAGAAATGGTTTTCAAACTGTTTTACAAATACATATCTGAAAAGTGTGGCATGCATTTGTATTCAGCCCCCTTTATTCTGATACCCCTAACTAAAAATTAGTGGAACCAATTGCCTTCAGAAGTTACCTAATTAGTAATTAGAGTCCGCCTGTGTGTAATTTATTCTCTGTATAAATGCAGCTGTTCTGTGAAGCCCTCAGAGGTTTGTTAGAGAACATTAGTAAATATACAGCATCATGAAGGCCAAGGAACACACCAGCTAGGTCAGGGATAAAGTTGTGTATAAATTTAAAGCAGGTTAAGGTTATAAAAAAATATCCCAAGGTTTGAACATCTCACAGAGCACTGTTCAATCCATCACTCGAAAATGGAAAGAGTATGGCATAACTGCAAACCTACGAAGACATGACCGTCCACCTAAACTGACAGACCAGGCAAAGAGAGCATTAACCAGAGAAGCAGCCAAGAGGCCCATGGTAACTCTGGAGGAGCTGCAGAGATCCACAGCTCAGGTGGGAGAATCTGTCCACAGGACAACTATTAGTCGTGCACTCCACAAATCTGGCCTTTATGGAAGAGTGGCAAGAAGAAAAAACCATTGTTGAAAGAAAGCCATAAGAAGTCCCGTTTGCAGTTTGCGAGAAGCCATATGGGGGACACAGCAAACATAAAAGAAGGTGCTCTGTCAGATGAGGCCAAAATTGAAGTTTTTGACCTAAAAGCAAATCACTTTGTGTGGCAGAAAGCAAACACTGCACATCACCCTGAATACACCATCTCCACTGTGAAACATGGTGGTGGCAGTATCATGTTGTGGGGATGCTTTTCTTCAGCAGGGACAGGGAAGCTGGACAGAGTTGATGAGAAGTTGGATGGAGCCAAATACAGGGCAATCTTAGAAGAAAACCTGTTAGAGTCTGCAAAAGACTTGAGACAGGGGCGGAGGTTCACCTTCCAGCAGGACAATTACCCTAAACATCCAGCCAGAGCTACAATGGAATGGTTTAGATCAAAGCATATTCATGTGTTAGAATGGCCCAGTCAAAGTCCAGACTTAAATCCAATGGAGAATCTATGGCAAGAATTGCTGTTAACAGATGCTGTCCTTCCAATCTGACGGAGCTTGAGCTATATTGCAAAGAAGAATGGGCAAAAATGTCTCTCTCTAGATGTGCAAAGATGGTAGAGACATCCCCAAAAAGACTTGCAGCTGTAATTGCAGCGAAAGGGGGTCCTACAAAGTATTGACTCCGGGAGGTGAATACAAATGCACGCCACACTTTTCACATATTTATTTGTAAAAAGTTTTGAAAACCATTTATCATTTTCCTTCCACTTCACAATTATGTGCCACTTTGTGTTGGACTATAATCACATAAAATCTCAATAAAACACATTTACCATTTTGGTTGTGACATGACAAAATGTGGAAAATTTCAAGGGGTATGAATACTTTTTCAAGGCACTGTGGCTTCTTTGATTTTTCATTTGAAGGATGTCTGGTACGTGGTGAATTTCGTCCAGTTCCTCAGGAACCATGAAAAATTCCAACAGTGTGTACCCAACTTTAGTGGGTTGAATGATTCTGTGCAACATTTATCCCAGAAGATAACTGGCACTGGATTGCAGGATGTGAGTCTGAAGGGAGGCAGCACCGAAGAAGAATGATTATTGCAACCATTTTATTTTAGCAATGACTGGGAAATTTAATTTTAAAGAAGCTGAAAATGAACTAAGAGTCTTGTTCAGCTACAGGTATTGATCTAGGCAGTTTTATATCTGCCTCCTAACACAGCTGAACTTTGTATGATATTTTCATGTCTATACACCTTCCTTGGAGATCTCCACTATACCCCAGTTATTATCTACTCACCATGTAGCCATGGCAGCCTCACCAAGTAACACACAGACTAATGGTGCAATAAATTAACTTTACTAAAATCAATGTGATGCCCCGTGCTTGGGGTTCATGTGAGACTAGGTATCTGGGCATCTAACACTGGTTTTCTTAAGGAAATAATAGATTTGGCACTCTGCGGGCGGGGGGGGTGGCACACTGACATCGTTCATAACAAGCGATTTCTGTGATCCTTGAAGATGTTTCCCACGTTTAGACTTTCCTATGGAAAAAAAGAAGTGATAGAAATATAATATTCATTAATGCATGATTTTTTTTTTTCTAAGAAATATAATTATTTTGGAGCACACCTACTGTATATATAGGCTAGGGGAAGCGTAAAGGCTTTACTTCTGTGAATCGCAGGAGTGCAGTTTGTTCTGCACTCTTGTGACCCGTTTTCAGACGGCAGTGGGCTGAAACCCACCGTCGACTGACGTCACTCAACTGGTCCAGGCTGGGGAAAGATCCCTACTTCAAAATCAGGATCCACCCTAGAGTCTGGAGCGGCACCTGGCTCAGCCTCTCAGAGAGCTGCTGAAAGTTTGAGCCTGCCGTTTGCTCGCCATCTACAGCCCAGCGCTCCAGTAAGCACTGGGGGGAGAGAGGGCAGAGCAGACAGCGGTGACTGACAATCACCGCTCTCAGCTCAGAGCAGCTATGAGAACTCAGCAATCGGCGGGTCATGTGATCCATAGAGCTGGCGGGGGACAAATGCAGCATTGGACTGATGCTGCATCCACCTAAGTAAGTATAATGGGGAAAAAAAATAAAAAGCCATACTTCTCTTTTAAATTAGAACTAAAACTAAACACTTAAAGTAAATAAAAATGCAGGCCCAGAATGAGAAATATCCATGGTGGAACTGGCAGCTGGGTGCAGTGCTGCAGCCTGCAACATAGTCCTCTATGGTCTGCCCATCAATAGATGAATAGCATAGAAATCATCCAGATTGGGTTCCCATTCCTATCAATGGCCAACTTTAGAGAATTACAGATTACATTTTGGATATACTAACTTGTCTAGTTCTAATACCTGCTCTGTCCAAGAAACGCAGCATCAGGGGAAGACAAACACAAGATTAAATGGCGATAATGGATCTGTAGGCAATAGCTCTTGAAGTGTAAGCGTGGCTGCTAAAAAATACCACCCCATATGTAATCCTCTTCTGTGATCATTAAAAAATACTTAAACTTCTTTTTAATAGCAACTAGATCTGCCTTCATCATTCCCTTGTGCATCATGATTTAAACTGGCAGACAAAAGGCAGGACGGTTAGCCAATCAGAGATAACCATATTATTAAACAGCTGCTCTTTCACTATCCATTCACAGTCTTGCCCCAAGCTGTATTGCTAGATCAAATATTTGTATTTAAACTGTGTATTTAGTTGTTTGTTTACCCTTACAGTTTAAAGCTGATTTCTAGGTAAAAAAATGAAATAAAAATTAAACCTGAACTTCAGGAAACTCAAAAATCCTCCCTTGAAGTGGGGATGTGATTGCAATATAAAGTTCACTTTACTTATCTGATCCTCTGCTCTTGTATGCGGACCACTCCCCACAGCCTATTCTCTCAGATGTGCCAACATAAGGTTTTCTGACGTCATCAAGACCTATGCAGAACTGTAGCCCTGCACTGGACTCGACAACGTAGAGAGACATCGCACTGCCAAAACATGGGGAAACACTGGCTGCTGGGAGATGTAAGTAAAGATCAGGTAAGTAAAAGTGCTTTTCAGCCCCTGGTAGACAGAGATGAGAACTGAACCCTTGCAGTGTGGGCCCAGCCCTATGGCAAGTGAGGGTTTTAGGTTGCCTGGAGTTGGGTTTTAAGTAGAGAAATGCTCATCTGTCACACAGCCAAGTCTTTAATTTTTCTATACTGTTACTGTAATCCAGAACCTTAATACCCACATGGAAGAAAAATATATTTGAAATATATTTTTAAAATATTCTTCCCAAATATATTGCCATATATTTGAAATGCTACAATTTTGGCCATATTCAATAAATAAATATAAATATATATATATACACACACACACACACACTGCATGTTGAAATGCATTTTTATTACAAAATATATGATAAATATTTTTTAGAAATACATTTCAAATGTACTATATGTCTTTAAAAATACAAATCTACATTTTTTGAATATATGTAAAAAGATATGTTAAAATGACTTTTTTATATGTTAAAAAAAATCTGAAGAATATAGTTTTAAAAAAATGTATTTATAAAATATATTTTTTTAAAAATATATTTTTCAGATTTTTTTTAACATATAAAAAAGTCATTTTAACATATATTTTTACATATATTTGTAAATACATTCCAAAAATGTAGATTTGTATTTTTAAAGACATGCATTATATTTGAAATGTAATTCTAAAAATATTTTTCATATATTTTGTAATAAAAATGCATTTCAACATAGCATTTCAAATATATGGCAATATATTTGGGAAGAATATTTTTAAAATAGATTTCAAATATATTTTTCTTCCATATGGGTAGTAGCCTTATTTCTCTCAGAAGGACATTGTCTGTAAAAGGGGCTCAGTCATTCCTGCCTGCTTCTTATGTGCAGGGTGACCAGTCTCCTTACCACCCCTTGTAATGGATCCAGGCAACCTGAAATCATTATGTCAGCACTGTCCACAGGAAATGGAGACCAGAAGAAGGTGGTGGAGGGACCTACATAGTATATGCATAGTCAGCCCCTCCATGTACTTCACAGCTTCGCCTGCCCTACCACTTAGCAACTCTTCTCCCTAGCCTCATCTTTGTCTTGCAGGGAAGAACAGTGCTGTGTTGCTGCCTGTTGCCTAACAGCATAGGATGCCAACAGCTTCCTGCAGGGCAGAAGAGTAGAGATCTGTCCTGAAAAGTCTAGTCCCCTTTCTGTTCCAGCCCAGGTTGCTGCAGCAATGACAGCGGAGTTCCCTGCTCCTGTATCATAGCCCTTGCTATTGCTGATAGTCGTTTCCTTAGCATAAGCCCACCTACACAATCAGGCACTCTACAAGCTGTCAAACTCCTCCCACAGGCTGTTCAACCCCGTCCCACAAGCTGCCACTAAAGGGAACTCAGAGCACAGGGATGGTGTAATAGAGCAGAAAAATATTTTCAGAAAAGTTAATGTAAGTTACAAAAAAAAATCTTTTTTTGACTACTTCTAAGGCGTTGGATAAGAAGTTAATTTTTTTTTTAACTTTACCAGGAGATCAACTTAAAGGTGTTCCAAAGTGGCCTCCCAAGCAATACTAACATCTGTGATATTACTACTTGAGTGCAGCGTCGGACTGACAACTCATGGGGCCTCCGGGCAATGGGGGATCATGGGGCCCCCTGTGTCCTTGCCCAAACTCAAAAAAGCCTATGAAAAAGGTACCAGGGGCATCTCATGGGGCCCCCTACTTACCCTGGGCCCTTGGGCAGTGCCCGAGTTTCCAAATGGTCAGTCCGTCCCTGCTTGAGTAACAACTTCAGCAGGCTCTAAGTGCTATTGCAGCTGTCCAGATCAGGCTCTAATTTGAATGTATAATATGTTCCTTTAAGCCACATTGCGCTTCCTGCTAGAACAGCCTTTCTTAACTATTTCAACACAGAGGAACCCTTGAAATAACTTTTTGGTCTCGGGGAACCCCTGCTAAAAATTACCGTATCTACAGCTCATGATACATTCGTGTGATGGTCAGTGGGAAGAATGCTCCTTACACTTGTGGTCATTGAGAAGAATTACCCCGTTATAGATAGCCAAAAATATCAATGGAGTCAGCGGGAACCTGCTCTTTGCTCAAGGAACCCCTAGGAACCTCTGGAGGAACCCTGGTTGAGAGACCCTGTGCTAGAATGTCCCCTTATTTCCCACAAGCCACCATAGTACACAGTCTTTCCTTTTCCCCAGAAATAGACAAACGTTACAGATTCTGATACTGGATAAAAAAGTGACTTGAGACGGATCTATGGGTTAATTACTCCTAATTAGGTACCTCCACATTAAAAGCTTTATCACTTTTATAGCTTCAAACTTCCCTTTCCTTTAAACCACTCATCCATTTGAGCACTTATATTTACAGACCCCTCAAGGGAAAGCTGCAATTGCTATTACCTACTCACCCTAATAGAGAGTCAACACCCAGTGCCACTTCCATGTGTCATCCGATGGGAAAAGGACCTCAATATGCAGTTTGAACCAAATGACCAACAGCCCTCTGCTCTATCAACTACACAGAGATAGAGGCCAAATTATTGCTATGCTGGTACCCCAAAGGTAGCTACATTTGCGCAGGGGGCTTCCCCCACTGATTTCTGGGGTTGCACCGAATCCAGTACACTCACACAAGTGGGACTGTCCATAAATAAAATGCTACAGGGTCAGTGTCTATTACAAATTTATAAGGTTTTAGGAAAAAGACCGTGATGAGGCCCTTTTGAACCGTAAGCCTGCGGGTTATAGTAATGCTCAATTTAAACTTTTAACTTTTATTTTTACTGCTGCTAAATAGATTTTGGCAAAAGCATGGAAACTGGCAATGCGAACCTCAATTCAAATAACAAATGCCCCAGTATTTGACAAACAAGAAACTTTCTACTGTACTTAAAGTGGAGTTCCACTCAATCTGTAAAAAAATAAAAGTCAGCAGCTACAAAAACTGTAGCTGCTGACCTTTAAAATACAGCCACTTACCTGTCCCTCGGTGCCCCCACCGCAGCCCGTTTCACCGGCCGTCCTGTATTCCAGGCGCCGGCATCTACAGTGTGTGCACCCAGCTGTGACAGCTTGCGGCTTCACAGCCGGGTGCCCACTGCGCATGCGCAAATAGCACTGTGCTTCCTGAATTGCCCCATCATCTTCTGGGACCTGTCACATGTCCCACAAGACTTCAGTGAGGGAGGGTAGGAGGACAACTTCTGTTTCCAATCACCTAGGCGATCAGTGGGAGCAGGTACCTGTCAAATTCGGGTACCCATTCCCTCCCCCCCCCTGCTCCCCAAAGGTTCCAATCCTTAATGGGAGCGAGGGACCAATCTTTAAAGCAGAACTTCCCCTTTTGGGTGGAACTCCGCTTTCAACAAAGTCTGGACACCCAGGATTTCACACTACATGTCATGTGACTTTCATTTGACATTCTTGACTATTTCGTTAGCCATGGAATGGTGTGGTCTTGGAGTCAGGTCTCCCTGGGCACTCCACCCTTCCCTTCTTTTGCACCCTCCCTTCCACTTTCAACACTGGCTCTTTTTCTATCATTTGATCACTTTATTTCTTTCTTTATTGGTGATGGATATTGAATACAGGTTTATTATTCTACATGAAAATAATAAATTGATGTCTCGTCATATGCCACTTTTTCCTCTCCGGTCACAACCTCTTTTTCAGCCAAGTAATTGCAACCTAAAAGCTTTTGCTTGGTGGTTTTCATAATGTTCATCATTCTCTAACATATCTCATCTCTTGGATTATTGAACTTAATTCACTAGATAACCTAAGCACATTGATTCTTGACTGGGGTGAGGATCCCACCACTATTGCATTTATATACTTTTTTGTGTTTTCATGCATGTATTAATTGTTTATCAAAAGAGGTTTTCCACCACTACTGTGCTGCATATGATTTTTATATTTGCTAATCAACTATTGTCAGTTTTATTTAGGCGGTTTTCACTATTATTGCACTGTATTTACATTTGCTTATATAAGGATGACAGGGTTATTTATTTGATTTTCTCACTGAAGGTTGCTCTCTCCTCTTCTTTTAAGCTAACAAGTGATTGTGCTTGTAGCACAATAGGGGGGTTCCACCAATATTGGTGAATTCATTATGATAAGGGAGCACTGCATTTTTATTGATTTACTTGGTTTTAGGTGTGCGAATACACAACAATGCACAGCTGCAAGCCTTACAATCATCTACTATACTTTACCTATTTAATTGCTATGAGATGGAACATGGCTTCCTCTTGAATATTCCATCTGAACCCTAGCTATTTTCATTTGAGCCCTGAGGAAGTCATGTGACTCGTGACGTAACGTGTAGGACGGAAGGAAGGTGATGTCATCCCGGTATGGACGGCAGCCGCCATCTTGGTACTCCATACCTCATACACCCTATACTGTTTTGAATATAGTGATTGCCTGTTGGGTCTGCAGACCCGTTTTTATCTTGTGAGTAGTTTTCTTTTTTTAAATAACAATAAAGTATGACTTACTACACTATGGAAGCTCTTTTCTGATCCCTTTTTATGAGAATTTTGGAGGAGGAGCAGGAGATTTAAAGCTACACACCCTTAAGAATATCGTAATTACTGATTACTGTGTATGCCATGGAGAGGAACCTTTGTTTGTCTTATCAGTGAGATCCATTCGGTTGGGGATCATCCATCTGTATTTATGCTGTTCGACTCCTTGCGGGTCGTGATCCAAAGGTGAGCGTGCACGCTAGGAGGTGAAGGATCATCCCTCTATCTGTGGTCACTGTTGGTTCACGTTTTTTGAAGATACACATATTGTTTGTTTTTGTTGGACTTTTTTCTATTTTGGGACTTTGTTTTTTTGGGGACTGTGGTTGTGGACTTTTTTCGTCCATTATTGGGGACGTATTATTTAATTTTATTTTGTTTTGTATTTTTTTGTCATTGGTTGCATTGTCCTTTGTGATGATTTATCCACTTCACATTTATGTTGTTTCACTATTTGGCCATGTTTCATGTTTGTTGCCACATTTTTTTTATGCCACTTTTATATTGGGGGGGGGGAAGGGCTACATTATCCGGACGTCTGACCACCGCTGGTGGCCATCCTGAACAGTATCTGGTCAGTGTTGACCTTCATTTTTATCCCTACCATTCATTGTTGTGTTACATTTTGATACAATAAGCTCAGTGTCTACGGTATCACGCTATGTGGTGTCCCTTATTGGGCTCTCTTCATTGAGAGTCCCCACTTGCAGAACCTGTTCAAAGGGACCCCAGATGGTGACACGTTTGAGAGACGTTTGAGACTCTTGGAGTACCTACCCTGAGTTGCGATTGGAAGGTGTATGACCCTGACCTTACCTTGGCAGTAGATGATCGCTACCTGATGTAACAGGATAATTTCACATGCGTATTTTTTACGCACTTCTGGTGAGTGCGCACTTTTTTACCCTAGATTCACTGTGTGGTACACTGGAACCCTGCCCCACGCACTCATTAGGATCTACCGGATCCCCACGTTGGGCCCTCATTTATCTTCATTAGGATCTATCGGATCCCCACATTGGGCCCTCATTTATCTTGGGACTTTTTATTCACTTAAGTTCACCTCAGTGTGATCCGATACTCTGTACTTTATTTTATGCTATAATATGGTGTTCTTATTTATATTTTAGCGCTGCACCTTTATATGTATATGTACTTTAATATTGTTATTGATTTATTCATTCACTGCACATTTGATATTTGGCCACGTTCATCTTTGTTGCCAAGTTTTGATGCCACTTTTATATGGTCATTGATTTATTCATCCACTGCACTTGATGCTTTTCATTCTATTTTTTATGGCCAAGTTTCTCTCTCTCTCTCTATATATATATATATATATATCTATATCTATATATATTTTTATTTTTGTGATATTTGTTATATGTCACTTTATTATCGCTGATGTTTTTTTTATGTCATCGCATTTGCACACTTGATGTTTTCTTGCATTCACCATCTTTATTGCCACTGGATTACGCTTTTGTGGCATTCACGCTTGTGGTAGTATTTGCACATTCGTTATATGGTTGTATGTGGCTTGTTCACTTTTTTGGATTTATGTCACTGTTCACTCATTTATGTGTATTGTTTATTCACCCTGAAGTACATAGTTACATAATTAGTCTGGCTGAAAAAAGACAAACGTCCGTTCAGTTCAACCATAAAAAAAAAATTATAATCCTACACTCACAGTTGATCCAGAGGAAGGCAAAAAACCCAGCAAAGCATGATCCAATTTGCTCCTACAGGAAACAAAATTCCTTCCTGATCCCCTGAGAGGCAATCAGATATTCTCTGGATCAACTTTACCTATAAATGTTAGTATCCAGTTATATTCTGTATATCTAAGAAACAATCCAGACCTTTTTTGAAGCAATCCACCGAGCTGGCCAGAACCAACTCTTGATGGAGTCTATTCCACATTTTCACAGCTCTCACTGTGACGAAACCTTTCAATGTTTGATGATTACATTTCTTTTCCTCCAAACATAAAGAGTGCCCCCTTGTCCTCTGTGATGACCTCAGGGTGAATAGCTCTATACCGAGTTCACTATATGAACCACTGATGTATTTATACATGTTGATCATATCCCCCCTTAATCTCCTCTTCTCAAGAGAGAATACATTTAGTTCCTCTAATCTTTCCTCGTAGCTGATCTCCTCCATGCCTTGTATGAAGTAGTGCAGCATCATTTCCTTCACTTATCGTTTCTCACTAGTTGATTGTAGTTAGGTGTTAGCAGCCACTTCTATTGACCGAGAATACTTTCTTGACAGCGCAGGAGTCCTTTTCTCTTTCATAGATGTTGTTAGGGCTGTCATGCATTCAGACATGTCACAAGAACCTGCCCATTTGTGGTGGCTTTTTGGACAAAGGTCTTTTGCCTGCTATCACTATTTCATAGAGATGTCCCTAAAAACCCTTGGCAGGTCCTCCTTTGTGCCTACATTGAATCTTTGACTATATAAAAAAATATATGAGCACATCACATTTTCCTTGCAGCCCAACTAAGTAGAAACTGGAAGCAGCAGCTCCTTCTGTTCCCAGAACCAGGGGGGTTGATAATATAATGGTTAATAAGCATTTGTCTAGTCTTCTAGAGGTCAAACATACACATTTTTTAAGAATCTGGGAACCCTGGATACAGCTACCCCACCAGTGGTAGATAATGCTAGCCTTTGATGTCTTTGGTTGAGGGCAGGAGGGATGGCCTGCCCCGGGAGGTGGGCCTGAAGTCTGAACTGATTTTGAAAGCATTTATTTCTTTCTTTCTGTTTCAAAGAATATCAAATTAATCAACTGGCATGGGCATACTATGAATGTATCAGGTATGAATAATTCTGACTGGACCACTTATTCCGCTATATGAAATTGATTGTTACTATTTGCATGTATACTGTTCCTTCAATCACAGGTTGCAACCGATTCTGTGTCCTGCTTGACCATACTCATTATAATCAATACAAATGATTACAATGGAAAGTAGAGTATTGTAGCCTACAGATGACAGTGTGAGCACCTTTTGTTTTTTTCTGTGCAGCACCAAAATGCGTGGTACTTTTCTACTATGCATTTTGGAGCATGATTTTAATGCATTTTAGAAAGGTGCATTTGGATTCCATTAGGAATTCTTTGCACTGCAGCATGCCTGCAAACAAATTGTTTTCCTTTTTTTGCACCACAGGAACACTCCTAAAGGAAGCATTGTGTAGTTTTCATTACTAATTGCCAGGTGCGATTTTCTTACCATCTTTGACATGTATTGCTGGTAAGCTGGTGTCCATCCTCCCATGATAAACTTGCCCATCAGATCCAAAAATATCAATCTCGTCCTGCAAGCAAAAGTGTATGTGAAAAATCAGGGAGGAATAAAATCTAATGAAACCTAGATGTTTAAAACAGATGGAATTTCCCTAGCATGGACACTTAAGACATGGGTGTCAAAGTCAATTTTATTGCAGGCCACATCAGCGTTAAGGTTGACTCCAAAGGGCCGATTGTATCTCTAGTACTAGATATCCAGAGCACTTCACTCCCCTTACATCAGATGTCAAGAGTCCCCCACCTTCCCTTACATCGCAGTGCACCCCCTTTATCTTGCGCTGCTGCCGTGCAGAAGCTGGGGGGGACTGGAAAGCAGAAAGTGCAGGGTCTGGAGGAGGGCTGGAGTCGACTGCCACAGTCTAATAAATGCTGAGACCAGGGAAGGCAGAGACAAGGGGGTGCTGAGGCTGCACCACAGAGAGGCGCAGAATCTGTAGGAGGAGCTCTGTCCTCCTCTCTGCTGCCGATTGCTGAGACAGGCGGGGGAAGGGACAGAGCCGAGCCTATCCACCGCTGCACGGAGAAGCACAGGATCTGGTGGAGGAGTTCTGTCCTCCTCTCTGCTGCCAATTGCTGAGACAGGCGGGGGAAGGGGCAGAGACAAGCCTATCCACCGCTGCACGGAGAAGCACAGGATCTGGTGGAGGAGTTCTGTCCTCCTCTCTGCTGCCGACTCCTGAGACAAAGTGGGGCGGAGATGAGAGGAGTGCCACAGCTACAGGAGAGGAGCGAGGGCTGTGTGATATGGCCTGGTGTCTGACACATGTGACTTACGGGGTCTATTAAAAAAGCATTTGCTGACCAAATTTCCAAAGCATTTGTGCAAGCTGGAAGACATTATTTTCCCTGTATTATTAATTCTCATATCTAGTGATCAAAATGCAGTATATTTTCTCACTGAGGGATTTCAGAAAACTATATTGCTTTTTGGTCACTAAATAGAAACAATTGAGTACTGTCCATGATACTTTTTTTATTTGCACTTATATACAATTATCAGGACAAGCTTTCAGAGTATGTCACCTTCTTCAAGGTCCAAGCAGTACTGAAGAAGAAGGGGACATATCCAGAAAGCTTGTCCTGAAAATTGTATGTTAGTGCAAATAAAAAAAGTGTCACTGACAGTACTCAACTGTTTCTGTCGCAAGTGCACTAATACAGCTACAATCATCTCAAGCAAAATGGCCACAAGATGGAACTAATGATATGAGTTAATCTATTGGATAAAATATAGTGATTTCAGCCAGTTAACACGAATGCTTCTAATATTCAGACAACAAATGTTTTATAAATAGACCCCTTAGAGTACTTCGAGTGGTACAGCTTTTGGCTCACTCTTCTGTCTCCTTGCTTTTGTATGTTTTTAGACCTTGGCTTTTGTGAGTATGCACATTTGTTTTAATCTAATAAATGAAGATGGTGACACATTACGCCGTTGCATCCTTTGTTTTGTTTGTCTCTGTTTTTCAAGATTCCCCAATCTTGTTAGGGCAACATCGGCCAAATGTTCCCGTCTTGACAGAGATCTGATGATGTTACCTTACCTATCTGGCTTCTCAGGTACCCCTGAGCGTTACAGCGTCAAAGTGTGATTTTTCTAGGCTGTGGCTACTTTCTAAGAAAAACCACTTTGCACGCCTTTTGTTGTGATGCATCTGGAATTTAAACGGAAAATACAGCTGGGATTTAAATGAAAGGTGAACACTCCTAAAGTAAGCTGCATTTGCCAATTGACACAAGACAAAACCTGAACTCTCCCTGATGGGACACTATTGTATTCCGGAAAAAAAATTGGCATTACTAAAAGCACAGGAATGGGGCTGTTCTTGTCTGGCCATGAGCTGGGAAGGTAGACCCTGGGAATGGTGACTCAGGGGTGCTCTTAGTTTGCTATATGTTTGGGACCCCACTGTGAGAATGCATACTAGGACATGATACCACGGCTTTTTCTACACTACATATCATGGGCTAGACCTTTTGGTCTAAGGCTGGAGCAATATCTTTTTTTACCAGGCTGCAAGGCCTAGTCATTGTCCTGCACACTGGCACTTTTATTTATTTTTCTTACTGTTCATGGGGACTAGTACTCGGTGTTCAGCTTTGGCTGATCATGAGGGGAAGGTTCCACTTAGCCTTTTGGCTAGGTGGACCTGTTTGTGCCTTATCCCCATTAGGAATCTTGTGCCCCGAGGGGTCAGGGAGAGGTCCTTCTTTGGGAGGGGACCATTTGACACACACCCTAAGGTCACCCATTAATGGAGTGATTTTCTCTCTCTGCAACCCACGGAGTCATTGTGTTCTCCTGGTGGAGGGAGCTGTCCTCGCCAGGAGAACACATTGATTACTGCTAGCTGCTATAATAGCCACTGGCAATAATCGCATGTAAATCTGACAGGCTGGTTGTACATGGGTACATTCAGCCTGCCCGTAAATGGTTAGAATGTCGGCCAGTTCCTGCTAAACTGTCTGAGATTCGAACCGTCTATGGCTGGCTTAAAGCGGAGCTCCACCCAAAAGGGGAAGTTCCGATTTAAGTATTTGTCCCCCACTCCCCATTAAGGATTGACACCTTTAGGGAGCGGGTACCTGAATTTGACAGGTACCCGTTCGCACTTCCACTGCGATAACCAACAGGTCCCAGAAGACTACAGGGCCATTCACAAAGCACAGCGCTTCTCTCGCATGCGCAGTGGGCACCTGGCTGTGAAGCCGCAAATTGTCACAGCCGGGTGCCCACACTGAAGATGCCGGTGCCAGGGACAGAAGATGGCCGGTGAAACCAGCGGTAGTGAAGACACCGCTGGACCGAGGGACAGGTAACTGTATTTTAAAAGTCAGCAGATACAGTTTTTATAGCTGCTGACTTTTATTTTTTTTTCCAGGTGAAACTCCGCTTTAAGTAGACTTTTGTGTGTGTGTGTGTGTGTGTGTGTATGTATGTGTGTTCACATGCACTTTTTGGTGTTCTGTTTTTATGCACAAAACTGTGGGCTAAAAAAAACCCACAGTTATTCTCTCACTGACTACAACTGGAACCCACTGCATGTATATGTCAAAATGTATATGATCAATGCTAAACACTAAAGGATCTTTACCTTTAAACCGACTCCTATCAGATCTTCTTCTTGAACGGTGATACCCTGCATCCTGACATAACGCCGATTTGGGAAGGTCAGTGTGTGGCTCCCCCCACAGCTTCGGTTACTGGGTATATATCCAAGTTCAGTGATGTCAGCAATGCGATCACTAGGATAAAAAAAAAAAGTTAAAGTTATCAAAAACCTCACTATGATTTTTTTTTAAATTCTGTCTTTATTGATGGCTATACATGGTACATAGGATTGAACAAAAACATGGTAGATCATAGCCATATGCATTACCTGTAAAAGCCATACCTATTGTGTCAATGTTATAATGGGCCAATGTATAGAAAAACAGTTGAAGGAATAGTCCTACAGAACGTAGAAAAATGATTAAAAATAACAAGTAAACCAAGGCTTTCCACTGCAACATCATAACAAATGGATCTGAATTATAGGACTAGCTAGGCATGCCTAATGTTAGTGGTCAACCTAGTCTTGTAAAGCAAATAATCTAAACTTGTCATAATATAGGTACATATAACTCAAGAAAAGAATAACGGAGAAATACGAACTAGCTTCAAGAAATAACTCAAGTCCATGTGTAGCAATAGCACGTCTTTGGGGTCAATTCACTAAGAGTTAAAAACAACTAAAAACTGCAGTAAAATAATGCATGCGGTAAATCTTTTGCAAATGTGAACTTCACCAAGAATTTAGCAGTAAATTTATCGCATGGTAGCTGGTGGTAAGGAAGCCGGCCGCGGCATCCCTAAAACATGCCGGCAAATAAAAATGATGGAAAAAACTGTTTGGGGTCCCCCCATCCATATCAGGCCCTTGAGGTCTGGTATGGATTTTTAGGAAAACCCCACACCAAAATTAAAACAAAAAAAGGCCCTTAGGTCTGGTATGTATTGTAGGGGAACACCACACCAAAATTTAAAAAAAAACAAAAAACGGTGTGGGGGACCAGACCTAAAATCCAAATCCTTTGCACATCTAGAGTGTGAGATTCTTGCCCATTCATCTTTGTAAAATAGCTCAAATTCTGTCAGATTGGATGGAGAGTGTCTGTTAACAGCAATTTTCAAGTCTTGCCACAGATTCTCAAATGGATTTAGATCTGGACTTTGACTGGGCCACTCTAACACATGAATATGCTTTGATCTAAACCATGGATGTTAAAAAATACTTTTTCAAGGCACTGTAAATAACTTTCCTATATATATATATATATATATATATATATATGAATGCCTTACCTGATTTTACCTTAACCAGCCAAGCTTCGTAAAGTATATGTAAACCCTCACCTTGTAAAACAACCCATTCAGTTTAGAAAGGAAAGGAAACTCAAAACATTTGTGTAGCGATATTAAAAAAAGCCCTTAAAAAGACTTTTTCCCCCTTTTTTCTACATGATCACATTCCCTCTGTTCTCAGCTGCAAAAGAGCGAGGGGAGGAGACATAGTTTGATAGTTAGTCTGGCCGAAAAAAGACAAACATCCATCCAGTTCAACCAAAAAACAAAAGGCAAAAAACCCAGCAAAGCACAATCCAATTTGCTCTTGCAGGGGAAAACATTCCTTCCTGATCCCCCGAGAGGCAATCGGATATTCCCTGGATCAACTTTACCTATAAATGTTAGTATCCAGTTATATTCTGTGTATCTAAGAAACAATCCAAGCCTTTTTTAAAGCAATCCACTGAGCTGGCCAGAACCAACTCTTGAGGGAGTCTATTCCACATTTTCACAGCTCTTACTGTGAAGAAACCTTTTTGTGTTTGGAGATTACATTTCTTTCCCTCCAGACGTAAAGCGTGCCCCCTTGTCCTCTGTGATGACCTCAGGGTGAATAGCTCCACACAGAGTTCACTATATGAACCACTGATGTATTTATACATGGTGATCATATCCCCCCTTAATCTCCTCTTCTCAAGAGAGAATAAATTCAGTTCCTCTAATCTTTCCTCATAGCTGATCTCCTCCATGCCTCTTATCAGTTTGGTTGCCCTTCTCTGTACTTTCTCCTGTTCCCCAATGTTCTTTTTGTGAATTGGTGCCCAAAACTGAACTGCATATTCCAGATGAGGTCTTACTAATGATTTGTACCGGGGAAAATTATCTCTCTCTCTCTCTGGAGTCTATATCTCTTTTAATACAAGAGAGGATTTTGCTCGCTTTAGAAACCGCAGCTTGGCATTGCATGCCATTATTAAGCTTGTGATCTACCAGAACTACCAGATCCTTCTCCGCCATTGATTCCCCCAGTTGTACCCCCCCTAGTATGTATGATGCATGCATATTCTTAGTTAGTTGACAATAGGAAAGCAGAGGGAATGGCAGGAATACCAGGGATTTCCCACAGCAAAGCAATACAAAGAGAATATCAGGAATATGAAATGTTGGGTTTAAATACTCTTTAATTTCTCCTATGATCAATGAGAACATAGTGCATGGATGTACTCATGCTATATCTACACAGGTATGACGATTTGGAGAAGACTTGATGGCTCGAATGGAGGGATGACACCGTGTGCCAAGAGTGGGAAAAGTATCACTTACTGTCTATTCCCCCTCCCTTCTATCTACTCACTTGCGGTTGCACTGCCGAATTTGATCCAGTTCGTAAACTGTGAATGGCCGAAAGGATCGATGAGACGGTAGTCCTGGAATGTTGGGGATTGTTAGTATAGGTCTGTGTGGGAAATAAGGAAAAAAATGGCTTATGTGGCTGATGATTACAATGTTGATGAAAATAACAACAATTAATATTAATAAACTTACGGTCCCGGAACCATCATGTCTATAGGGCGGTCACATGACAGGCAGTGGAATAGTTGCCTAAAAAGTAACAGTTAAACATAGAGATTTAGGTATAAAATTGATAAATATTTTTAATTACTGCTGTGTTCTGAACATACGAAGGGGGAAAATAAGGTGAAACTTGTGTATATATAACTGTACAACACATTATGGCTTATATATTATATCAGAGGTGTGGACATTTTTTAAAAAACGACTTGTCCAAGAGACTAAATCGGGGTCTCAATCTATTTGTCCTTCATAGCAATGTACTTGTCCTGATAAATAAAAATGTAACAAAACTGTATTTAAATAAGGTTTTACCATTATGTTGTTTGTCTCCTCCTCCCCTCCCTGCCTCTCTCCAGCACTGCACCCAGGGACTAGCAGGGAGGGGAGAGGCCTTGCAGTGTAAAGAGCACCAGTTGGGTGCTTGTCAGGAAAGAGGGGTCTCGGGTTCTCTTAATATTCAGCAGAAAAACGAATCTGCTGAGTGAATAAATAAAGCGCCGGTCCCAATAAGAAAAAAAACAAAAAAATTTTGTTTCTTCAGGTTACCCTTGCTCGTGGAAGCACTTGGGTGCTCGATACAAGTGCATGCTGAGCAGCCAAATCAGGCTCTGGTATCCACCCCATTTGGCTCCATTCACACCTTGGCATTTTGGGACAGCGATTTTGCCCGCGATCTCAAAAAGCACCACAATCCCAAAATGCAGGTTCAGGTGCCATTATTTTCAATGGCATCTAAAACAGTGCGTTTTTTTTTTTTGCCACGACTGTTGATTTATCGTGCAGCAAATTACATTGCATGAAGCTTGTCACCCAAAAGAAGCTCTTACTCCTTTTTGGGTGACAAGCTTCATGCGATGCGATTTGCCACAATTGCCGCATGATAAACCGTGGCAAAACCTCACTGCGTTTTAGGTGCCATTGAGAATAATGGCACCTGAACCTGCGGTTTGTGATTGTAGTGCGTTTTGAGACTGCACAGCAATTCTGCTGTGATCCCAAAAGGTGTGAATGGAACCTTAGTCCTGGTTCACACTGATGTGGATCAGATTAGATCCGAAAGGCATAGTTTTGCATGGCTTCTGAAAATACACTGTTTTCTTTGTAGGAAATTCAGTGGTGTGATTTTAATCTGGTTAGAAAAAGGGTCCAGTGATGCATTCCAAAACTCGCACAAAATAGAGTATAGTGGAATTCTGAGATAACTGTTCACATGGGATGCGATTCATAGCTGATTTTGCATAGAAGTGGCTGAAAGACAATTTTGCATAGCAGTTGCTAGAAGACAGATATGTAGAGAAGAGGATAGACTGCATTTGTAGCATATGAAGGCAGATTAAAAATTGCAGCGACACTAAATTTGCATTAAACAAAAGGGTATTCACATCCCTGATTCTATCAGAATCATACCCAAACCACTGAACTACCTTTGACAATCTCACTGAAAACTGACATGCACTGCATAAAGCAAACACTGCCGCTTGTCATAGGGCTAAATAAAAGAAAAAACCCCACCTGCCCGGCATATGGAACTGCATGTCCTGGGCATCAGGTGATATGATTTGCACATCCCTGAATATACAGTATATGGTACTTTCAGATTCAAAATTATTTAAGAAATTATATATTTATAATGCGGCAGCAGACTCAATCAACAAACTTTTTTCTTCCTAAAGTGTTACTAAACCCAGGAGTTCTCCACATCTGTTGGATCTCTCAGTGGTTGTTGCCCACCTCTCAGTTGGACTGCTTTTGGACATCCTGACTCTTTTAAGAATACCTAAATCCCTGCAGCCTTTAAAGTGTTACTAAACCCCGAACCCTTCATTCACTATATCCGGTCTCCCAGGACCCTGCATTCACTCTATCCGGTCTCACACAGTACACAGAACACGGAAATGCAATTATTTTAGGAAATATAAACTGCTAAATACCTTTTCTCATCAGAATTATATAGCAGTCTTGCAACTTCTATCAGTGTCCAGCTGAGCACTGGTTAAAGCTTGTAGGAGGGGTTTTCATTCTGTTCTGACTGTCCTATGAGGCTGCATAACCCCTGACCCTCTGTCTGGACAGTGCTGATTGGCCCTCTGCTGATCACATGCATTCTCCCAAAGAGAAAATAAAACACTCTAGCAATACATATGAAACTAAGCATGTGCAGAGCGACTCCTAGAGCTCTGTACTATCAGCAGATGGATTGGGGACAATAGAAAAAGGAGAGGACCAGAGAAGACAGGATCAAACAGCCTTTTTATGCAGAGGATTAACCCCTTAGGTTCCACAGTGAGTATAACAAGCACACTTTACTGCATATGCAGACTGATTTTACTGTTGTGGGTTTGTGCAGTAACCTATAGCAGCCAATCAGAATGGAAAGGACCAGGCAATGATACAAATGGGAGATTTAAAGGATAATCTTTATTTTTTAGAAATCCCTCTTGGACTGCTCATGCATCAACAGTGTGTAAGAAAACTGTGCTGTCAGAAAGTCTGCCATTACTAACCTCCTTCTAAAACACTACTTAGGGTAGGGACTTGCAGCACTCCCATTTCTGATGTGAAAAGTATACCTTATGGAGCTGCTCTCCGAGCTATGACTGAAAAGAAAAGGATCACTCCACCAGTAAGTGAGAAGAGGGGAGCATGAGTCCGAGTGATTCCAGTGTCAGCCAATACAAGTGAAGGGATGGACACTGCTCAACCCACCCCAGGAGTCCAATGTAGAGGAATGGCCACAGCCACCGAACTGGCCACACCCTTTGTGACCAAGCCCTGGTAGGCGGAGCGAAACGCAGAAGGTGTGGCCAGTACGGCAGCTGAGACCATTTCTCTACATTCGACTTCTGGGGTCGGTTGAGCAGTGTCCATCCCTTCACTCCCATTTCTGATGGGATATTTCGGATGTAATCTCAAAGAATTGCATGCCCTCTGCTGGTCGCTGTGGTGCTTCCCATCAACTCTTATGTCTCTGAAAGTGACATTGGACTGGGTGGGAGAAACCACAGTACCCAATGAGGGGCCCGTTACTGCACACACTACATGTGTCAAATAATAAAACTAAAGTTCTATTGCTTAAAACACAGGGCCAAGATACTAGCATTTCTCCCTGCACTGACCCAAGAAAAGAACAGAAGACCATGCAATGGATCCCTCATATCTTTGGGACAATGTGGACGAACCCTGAACCTATGCAATGCTATATTAGGACTTTCACACCATTTGCTGTTCACAATAGATGTCCAAATTAACAAAATGGAATAACTAAAAATAAATGTCTCTGGGTACTTTTATGATATCCATGAAACCCCAGGGATTTTTCATTTTGTGAAAAACATAAACATTGAATTGATTTGTAATACCTAACTATACAACCTTGTGTTATGCTTTACTTAAAAACTATCAATAACTAGATTGAACAAGAAAAATGAATTGATATCATATAGTTTTTCAGAGATGGTCCAGTGAAATGAACCAACTGCAATACTAAAACGTGGGGTCTTGTGAGCTACTATGGTGTATAGACAATGTGAATGAATATATAAATATTGTGAATAATGTGAAAACAATAATAAAATATAAAACAAAAAGAAGCTAAGGCACTATATACATTTTTTACATTCACTTTCAGTTGTGTTCAAAATAATAGCAGTGTGTTGAAAAAAGTGAATAAAGCTTAAAATCCATCTAATAGCTTTTATTTTCATACACACAAATGCATTGGGAACACTACACATTCTATTCCAAATCAAAACATGAAGAAAAATATATCAAATTTGTGTTGTTCCTCTAAAAAAATTGAAGAAAAGTGAATATTAGACTGTTCAAAAAAATAGCAGTGTTTGTATTCTTTACAAACTCAAACATTCACTATAGAAACTGAAAAATGTTTGAAGATTTTGCTTTCCTTTGAATCACTTAATTAATATTTAATTGTATAAGTACTGTTTCTGAGAACTGCTGTACATCTGTGTTGCATGGAGTCACCCAACTTCTGGCACCTGTGAACAGGTATTCCAGCCCAGGATGATTGGACTACATTCCACAGTTCTCTATTTCTTGGTTTTGCCTCAGAAACTGCATTTTTGATGTCACCCCACAAGTTTTCTATTGGATTAAGATCTGGGGATTGGGCTGGCCACTCCATAACGTCAATCTTGTTGGTCTGGAACCAAGATGTTGCACGTTTTCTGGTGTGTTTGGGGTCGTTGTCTTGTTGGAACACCCATTTCAAGGGCATTTCCTCTTCAGCATAAGGCAGCATGACCTCTTCAAGTATTCTGATGTATTCAAACTGATCCATGATCCCTGGTATGCGTTAAATAGGCCCAACACCGTAGTATGAGAAACATCCCCATATCATGATGCTTGCACAACCATACTTCACTGTCTTCACAGTGTACTGTGGCTTGAATTCAGTGTTTGGGGGTCGTCTGACAAACTGTCTCCGGCCACTAGACCCAAAAAGAACAATCTTACTTTCATCAGTCCACAAAATGTTGCGCCATTTCTCTTTAGGCCAGTCAATGTGCTCTTTGGCCAATTGTAACCTCTTCAGCACGTCTTTTTTTTCAACAGTGGGACTTTGCGGGGGGCTTCGTGCAGATAGCTTGGCTTCACATAGGCGTCTTCTAATTGTAACAGTACTCACAGGTAACTTTACACCTTCTTTCATCTTCCTGGAGCTGATTGTTGGCTGAGTCCTTGCCATTTTGGCTATTCTTCTATCCATTCGAATGGTAGTTTTTCGCTTACTTCCACGTCTTTCAGGTTTTGGTTGCCATTTTAAAGCATTTGCGATTATTTTAGCTGAGCAGCCTATCATTTTCTGCGCTTCTTTATATGTTTTCCCCTCTCCAAACAACTTTTTAATCAAGGTACGCTGTTCTTCTGAACAATGTCTGGAACGACCCATTTTCCTCAGAATTTCAGAGAGAAATGCACTGTAACCAGCATGTACAACAGTTGCTGCCTTCCTTCCTTAAATAAGGGCAATAATTGCCACCTGTTTTTCAAAGAATGAATGACCTCACTAATAGAACGCCACACTGTTATTATTTTGAACACTCCCCTTTCAATTAGTGATTCAATTACACAGAATCAGCAGCATGCATGTCATGACTGTTGGGTCTGTTGGAATTCTATTACTCTACTACACCTGATAGTAAATTATTTGCCATGTAGAAATATCATTTCTACCAAAAACAGTGATTGATCAGGTTAGTGATGTCTGACTGCTATTATTTTGAACACATGGAGAAATAATTCTAAGCAAACGAGGAGACCCCTTAGTGGGAAGAGGGATAACTCCATCCATCCATCTGCCTCCAAGACAAGGTCCCTAGGAAGCGGCGAGACCCTCTACTGGGAAAAGGGAGAACTCTGTCCGTCCATCCATCCATATAGGGAATAGGGATAATCTCATCCGCTCATCTCTAAGTCCAATTAAAGGGACACAAGCCTTTTAAGACCTCACTTAACGGTTTGGTCATATATGCCAGGTGAGAGCACAACCGGTGAAGGTGTACACATTTTTTGGTGAACTGCATGATATATATTTTGTATTACACCATTAGAAGAAATGTCAGAATCACGGATTAATTAAGGACATGTATGCAGCAGCAGCAGCAGCATGATTGCATTGTCACTTCTAATTTGATGTTGGATTATTATTTATATATTTATTTATTCTATTCACATATTTGATATTTTTTATTACTACTGTTAGTGGAGCGCAACACTTATTTTTGATTTTTATGAACCAACTGCAATGATGCCCTCTACTGGTCGTAAGATATTACACCTTCAGATCTGCCAATGCACTGTATTGTTATCCCTTTGATTGGATTCACATCTGTCAGTGTGTAGTTTCATGTGTTTTTATGTTTGATGTCAACAATCACATGTGCACATTAAAATACATAGGTGTGAAAAGGACCTTACTTGCGAATACCAGCAGCATCATCAGACTCGTACTGGGGTGTTTTTTCCTGCAGTTGACGGCGGATTTCCTTCCAGCGTTCCTCTAACTTATTTTTTAGAGGGTCCAGTTCCATGCGATCCAGCTGTAAAAGGGAGCTGGGTAAGAACAGGCCTATATGTATACTGGCCTCTGTGTGTATACTGTACATAGATTTTTCCTGACTCTCATTTACTGAACACTGAAAATATACATAAACAAATTCTAATCAAGGATGACTTTTTTTCTGACTTGGTTTGTAAGTGATAATGATACCCTCAGTTTTTAAGCACTTTCAGAAGTTGATTTGATCACTTACTGAGTATGCAGCATCTTGATCTTTTAATCCTTTGTCTATGTTCCACTTTAAGCTTCTACCATGACCACTGCTCTAAGTTTCCCCAGGGTGGCTCCTTTCTTATGCAGAATTCTATAGAGCCACTTTTGCATGCAGTAACTAGAGTTGTGTCTCTACACTGTGCACCAATAGAAACACACCCCATAGCCTAGGATGGCAAGGTACTCCCCTGCTCCTCCCCCTCCCTTCTACAAGCTAACAGGCTGGAGAGGCCACAGTCCAATGTTAACTCTTTACTGTAAAGAATAGAAGCTCAGGGAAGCAGCACTGAAAGAGCAGGAGCCAGCAGCATTGTAAGTTTTAAACTGCAAGTAAAAAAGAAAAAGTGAGCGCTTTTCAAATAAAGCAGCTAGGCACACAGGATAACCAGTAATAATCCTCACAAGAACATTTATAAAAAAGTGCAGCGCTAAGATAAAAGCGTTACATGCCAAGCACATCCTCCAATTGGTTCTTTCTCTGAGGATATGCTTGGCACGTAATGCGTAAGGAGGAGCCTACGTACGCCGTGACGTCACGCCGTCAGAGCATCGTGGAGCTCCGGCGGCCATTACATCTTTTAGGACGGTTAGTCCTTCTGCACATTGCAATTGTTATTGGATGCATCCCCTTGCTACTGTCAATTGTTTACAATAAATTCTGTTTAATCAAACAATACATCACTATGGGCACTCTTTTGTTTTGACCCCTTGCGGGGAGCATCTTTTTTCTAGACACCGCTCTGCCCAGTGGAAGAGTCTTGCCCTATGGTGGAGTTGTGCCTGGTTCTGCCCTCAAGGGAACTTTTTTCTGTTCATCTGTGTACCATCCGAGGATCCTTTCTGACCGAGGGATTCTGCCTATCTTTGCCACCCTGATGATCATTTGTTGAGCTGTAGGATATTTGCACTGCACATTAAATGTGCACATCTGGTTAGTGTGCATTTCTCACTTTAAGTCATCTCTATTGGGACTACTAATATGTATATACATTTGTTTTAATATATTCCAATATATTCTTATGTATTTTTTTTTGCTTTTATCTTAGCGCTGCACTTTTTTATAAGTTTTAAACTGCAAGTGCTGGGGTAAGAAGTTTAACAAATAGCTTACTCAGGAATGTTTATTTTATTGTGCTCAATGTATTAAACTAAAAAATGCTGAGGGTTTAATACTACTGTAGGTGCAGCAGTTTGGGTACAGGCCCATTAGGGAAGAAAAATGCTGTAATTTAATTTACCATTTGCCACAGTGGCTAAATGGTTAGCACTTCTGCCTGGCAGCACTAGGGTCGTTGATTCAAATCGCAACCACAGAACCACCTGCTTGGAGTTTACATGTTCTCCCTGTGCCTGCGTGGGTTTCCTCTGGGTACTTCGGTTTCCTCTCACACTCCAAAGACATGCTGGTAGGTTAATTGTGGCTCCTGTCTAAATTGGCCCTAGTATGTGTATGTATGAATGTGAGTTAGGGACCTTAGATTGTACGCCCCTTGAGGGTTAGGGACTGATGTGAATGTACAATATATATGTAAAGCGCTGTGTAAATTGACAGAGCTATATACGGTAAGTACCTGAAATAAAATTAATAAAATAAATAAAATTTAGGAGTTCATAGGCCATTCATCCGAAGGTCACCAGTTTGGGAGCTGAACATTGCTGAAATGCTGAAAAAAGCTGAACTATAGAGAAGTCTTTAACAACAGACTAAAAGATCAAAGAAATGTTTAACACCCCATGGCAACATAATTTTCCCCTTCTGACTATAGCAGGTCTAAATGTTTCTATGGAGTTCATTTTCACACAAAACACAAAAAGTTTAGCATTGTGAATGATTTACATTTTAACCTTTCTGAAAGTTTCATTATGGACCTGTTCCCAATTACTGTGACACCACAATTGGCATACATAGAAATGAGCATATTCACATCAGTCTCTGCCCTCAAGTGCTTACAATCTATGGTCCCTTTCTTACACACATACACATGAAGCGCCCATCCCTGCAAGGGCCCATTGATTTGGTCCCAGGGTTCTTTCCCCAGTATGTGCACTAGCAGCCAGGCACAGTCTCAGCCACTCTTCTGACGCAATTATTAGTCTAGGGCAGCCTTTCTCAACCTTTTCAGCATGGAGGAACCCTTGAAATAACTTTTTGGTCTCAGGGAGCCCCCGCTAAAAATGACTGTATCTACAACTCATGATACATTATTGTGATGGTCAGTGGGAAGAATGCTCCTTATACTTGTGATCATTGGGAAGAATTACTCCTTTACAGATAGCTGAAAAGATCAATGGTGTCAGTGGGACTTATCTGAAATTGCTTATTGCTCAAGGAACCCCTAGCAAACTCTGGAGAAACCCTGGTTGAGAACCCCCCCCCCCTCCCCCGACACTCAACGTCACAGCTCTGGACATCCCAGGAATGACAGTCGGTAGAGTCCGGTAAATAGGTCACATTTAACAGGCCCTTCCTTTCCTGAATGAACACAATGACTGATCAATATCAATCACTCATTGTGTTCATTCATAACTGTGTAGTGTTTTTTGTTTTTTCTTTGTTTTTTTTTTTTTGGGGGGGGGGGGGGGCCCTGTTAGGTTGGCTGTATGTGGCCCCATGCTTTCTAACAGCAGCCCTGGTGATAAAGTCCTGACAGGGGTTATAACCCATCCACTCTCTAACCACAAAATAAGTTTTACCTTTAGATGACTGTTAAAAGTATAAAGCAATGAAGTCACCTAGAAATTAAAATGATCTTTACATTTTTCTCGATGTGTGTACAGATACATACTCACTTTACTCTGCATCTCCAGGTTGATCTTTTCCAGCATTCTCAGCCAGTCCTGTTCTTGCCCACTTACTTTGCCCAGCAGCTCCTGCATCATGCTGTTTAGCTGCTCAGTGGTGGCATCAAACTGAGAGCGACTCACTTTACCTTCCAAGGCACTCATGTCTGGTTGCTATCCGGATCATATACAGCAAAAGAGAAGAGGAGGTGAGAATCATTGGAGTGGAGACACGGATGTCTTCACATTGCGCAGTCACACAAACATTTGGAGTAACATACAATATATAATACATATTTGGTTGCCTGCAGAGAAATTAGGACTAGAGTGCTGCAGGCAACATTCTATCACCTTCTGATATACTTCCATAGATGGAAAAAATTGGATGAATGTAACAGAAAGATCTGCATGATCTCTACTTATCATAAAAGCAGTGGCCCACCCTATGTATTAAATGCTTATTTGTAAAATTAAAAGAAGAAGAGGTTTAAGCGTATCTATAACCAAAAACACTGGGTGTTATGGCCAGTAACACATCTCCAATTTAGGGTGGCTGCAGTCACTCCTCCACTGTATCTCTGGAGGAGCATGGTAGCCAGCCTAGGACAGCAACACTGTCAGCCTGTGGTGAGGTTAGTGTTAGATGGACTATTCAGTTTAGATGGGCTTTATTTAAGTGATTAACAAATTAAAGTGGTTCCAAAACTTTTTTTTTTTTTTACCTTAATGCATTCACTGCATTAATGTAAAAAAAACCTTCTGTATTCAGCTTCCTATGCCCCTGGCCACCCTTAAATACTTTCCTGAGCCTGATCTCAATCCAGCACTGTGCCAGAGAGCAGTGGCTCTCTTCTCTCTCCTTCCTCACTGGACATGAAGGCAGCCGCTGGAGCCATTGGCTTCTGCTGCTGTCAATCAAATCCCCTCACACTAACCAAAGGTTAGAGCTCATTTACATGTGCTTTCACTTTAATGCACATTAATGTGCCTACTGCTTCAACGTACTTTTTTGATGTATTTTTAATGCTTTTGTAATGCTTTTTTGAATCCTTATTGAACCTAGGCAAATGCTGTGTGTGTGTTGAGTTTCTATTTATTTTAAAGGAGCCCAGAAGAAACCCGACTCAGTAGTACCCCAACTCAGCAGATACCCAGATCATTAGTACTCCTGTTCAGCAGATCCCCTGCTCATTGGTACCCTCATTCAGCAGATCCGCAGCTTCTTAGTACCCTTGTTTAGCAGATTCCCTGCTCAGTAGTACCCTAAGCTTTGCTGATCCCCTGCTCAGTAGTAACCCCCAGCTCTGCTGATCCTGCGCTCAGTGGTAACCCCCAGCTCTGCTGGTCCCCCACTCATTAGTAACCCCCAACCCTGCTGATGCCCCACTCAGTAACCCCTAGCTCAGCTGATCCTCTGGTTTGCTAATCCTCCTCTCTCTCTGGTCCCTGCCCACCTCCTGCTATATTACTCCCACACTGCACACATGATATTGCTAGTATCTCCTACTCTAGTCTACCAGCTCTGTTGATCCTCGACTGCTCAGTCCTCTTTCTCCAACCCCCACTCACCTTCCGCTATAGCATTCCCATGTTGCACACCATGTGTGCCGTCTGCTAGTTGCGCCGCTTCAGTCCGGACCTTGCTCACCTTCCTGCTGCTCCCTCCTGCACGCCAGATGTGACGTCTGCACCAGATACTTCCAGAGTATATATACTATGTGAACCAGAAGTGACTGCTGATGAAGTCTTTCTGGTTTGCTTGTCAGTTTTCCAGTGCATCCTGGGATCTCTAATACCTCCAAAGCTAACTCTGAATAAAAGCCCCTCAAAAGCTGCAGGTGCTGTTAGCGAGCTTTGTCATCGACTTCTATGGAGGCTTTGGAGACAGTTTGAAGCACCAAGACATGGGGTATAATTTTTGAAGGAAAGCAAACGCAACATGTGGACAGGACTGTAATTTTACCATTCTTTTTAATGACCAGTGCTTTCATTGGCATTCAGAGTGCTTTAAAAAAGCATGTTAAATGCCACATTTTGAAGCAAGTGTAAACAAAGCCTTAGTGCGAGGTGTTTAATGTTCCGGATTGCTCCCTGTGCCAGGAGCTCGGTGCCAAAAAAACTGCCAGTGCAATAAAAGCTAAACACTTCCTAGTGGAATCTTTATTCACCCAACAACCAGAAGACAAACTGTTTATGAAGCCTTGTCTGAGAATGGGAAGAAATGTACTATATGTTGATAAAATCTCTTAACTACCCTTTTCGAATGAGAACATTCAGTACAACTCTACCTTCTGCTCTACCTGGTCCTTGTCTGCCTTCTTCTCCTCCAGCTTCTCCAGAGTCTGATAAATGATCTGCCAGATATGAAAGTGTGTTAGTAAGGGAAACCTCTGCTGAGAAAAAAAAAACTGAGGCTACCATTGCTGGCCTTTTTAAAATGCTAGCTCCTTGGAGCACTCATTCAGAATAAAAAAAAAAAACAGAGTAAGTGAGCGCTTGAAAAAAAAAAAAACAGCAGCTGTACACCAAAAAAGGCACCATATACACCTTCAGAGACGTAAATATACAAAAAGAGGGGGAGGTGCAGCGCTATTTAACCTAGCAAACAATAATGAAATTCAAAATCAAACACACAAAATAAACAGTGACTGTGTGCTAATAAAATAAAGCCACTGGATGGTGGCTATGAAGTGAAGGAAGTGCAAAATAAATAAAAGAGTCCAATGGAGGGGTGCTCTTAAGATCCGAGATGATCCTCAGACGTCCAATATTTGGAACTGCAAGGTGATAAGAAATGTAAAGATTGCGCACTCACCAGATACGCAATCTTTATGCGCATTTTATATATTATCACTGGATCCCCGGTGTCATCAAACTGTTCTGGTCAGATCTGGTCAAACTTTCACTGCCTGGTACTCGGATAGATGTGCTCTGTACTGGCTGGTTCTCACAGACTCAAATAAACAGAGGGTCACGTGTGGCCCTTAAAGTGGCTTTTTATTTATATACAGGCACAGGATAGCAGAGAAAATCCAATGAAACAAAAAATGTACTGACCCAGATGCAAACAAAGATGGCCGCCGGGGCGGCGTCCGACCTACTGTAGCTTTCCCTAAAAGGAAAGCCACGAGGGGCCCCGGCGGCCATCTTTGTTTGCATCTGGGTCAGTACATTTTTTGTTTCATTGGATTTTCTCTGCTATCCTGTGCCTGTATATATAATAAAAATACTTTAAGGATATCACACTATGTGACCCTCTCTGTTTATTTGAGTCCTGGTGAGAACCAGCCAGATCTACAGAGCAGCCGCATCTATCCGAGTACCAGGCAGTGAAAGTCATGCTGACCAGATCTGACCAGAACAGTTTGATGACACCGGGGGTCCAGTGATAATATATACAAATGCACATAAAGATTGCGTATCTGGTGAGTGCGCAATCTTTACATTTCTTATCACCTTGCAGTTCCAAATATTGGACGTCTGAGGATCATCTCGTATCTTAAGAGCACCCCTCCATTGGACTCTTTTATTTGTTTTGCACTCCCTTCACTTCATAGCCACCATCCAGTGGCTTTATTTTATTAGCACACAGTCACTGTTTATTATGTGTGTTTGATTTTTAATTTCATTATTGTCTGCTAGGTTATATAGCGCTGCACCTCCCCCTCTTTTTGTAAATCATTCAGAATCACTGACCTAGAACAAGAATACTGCAAACCAGGCAACTAGCATTTTCAGAAGGAGAGTAAATCATTAAAAATCATTTTATAAACATCACTATAAAAGACATTGAGTACATATATAGAAATGATTGATATTATTTAGGAGAATAGAAAAAAAGAACTGTTATAGTATGTAGAGACACCAAGGATGACCATAAGTAAAGGAGGTGACAGAAACCAAGATGGTGAGAGATATGTTTTCCTCTCACATCAATGTGTCTCTGCTGCTGCTGTTGATCCTGGAATATGGAACCAGTGGTCTTGTCCAGCTGCCCAAACTCCTCTCGCAGCTGCAGCACTTTATCCTGGAGAAGATCCTTATCCTGAGAGGTGAATGCATAATCATTAAAGTACATTTATAATTAAGTTTTTATCAACCTCAGTCAGAACTGTACAAACACAATCAGAAATACATCTGCAAAGACACAATCAGTACCATACTGACAGTTCCAGAAATATGTCTGCAGAGACACAATCAATACTGTACTGACAGTACCAGAAATACTGAATGTCTGCAGAGACACAATCAGTACCGTACTGACAGTGGCAGAAATATATCCGCAGAGGCACAATCAACACCGTACTGACAGTGCCAGAAATATATCCGCAGAGGCACAATCAACACCGTACTGACAGTGCCAGAAATAAATCCGCAGCAGGCACAATCAACACCGTACTGACAGTGCCAGAAATATATCCGCAGAGGCACAATCAACATTGTACTGACAGTGCCAGAAATATATCCGCAGAGGAACAATCAACACCGCACTGACAGTGCCAGAATTATATCCGCAGAGGCACAATCAGCACCGTGCTGACAATGCCAGAAATATATCCGCAGAGGCACAATCAGCACCGTACTGACAGTACCAGAAATATATCCGCAGAGGCACAATCAGCACCGTACTGACAGTAACAGAAATATACCCGCAGAGGCAGAAATATATATATATATATATATATATATATATATATCTCCGCAGAGTACTAGAAATATATCCGCAGAGGCACAATCAGTACCGCACTGACAGTACCAGAAATATATCCGCGGAGGCACAATCAGTACCGTTCTGACAGTGCCAGAAATATATCCGCAGAGGCACAATCAGCACCGTACTGACAGTACCAGAAATATACCCGCAGAGGCAGAAATATATATATATATATATATATATATATATATATATATATCTATCTCCGCAGAGTACTAGAAATATATCCGCAGAGGCACAATCAGTACCGCACTGACAGTACCAGAAATATATCCGCGGAGGCACAATCAGTACCGTACTGACAGTGCCAGAAATATATCCGCAGAGGCACAATCAACATTGTACTGACAGTGCCAGAAATATATCCGCAGAGGCACAATCAGGGCTTTTTTTCTCAGAGGAAAGGTGGTGGAACTCCCCCACCCAAACCTGGCCACGCCCCCATCAAACCCTAGGACCACCCCTTTAGAGAACAGGAATGCAAGTAAAATTTGGGAGGGGCTATAAAAGTAAATGTATGGAATTAACACCGCCCCCCACATTAGTAAGAATAGCGAGTAACACTGCCCCCCCCACATTAGCAAGAAAAGCGAGAAAAAATTGTATCGCCGCTCCTTACCTGATGCTGACGATCCGCGCTATGGTAGGATCGACGAGCAGAGGGCGTGATGACGTCAGCGCGCACCGCCGGGTGTACTAAGATACACCTTTCCTATGGGGGTGGCCGCGCGCCCCCGATGTTTACACGCTGGCGGTAGAGGGGAGGGGGGGGGTGAAGCGTGCATGTCCCCGCTCACCGGCTGTGAGCAGCGGCAGTGACAGGTGCCGGGCACGCGCAAGCATGACATAAACAAGCCGCGTCCGGCACCTGTCACTTTCGCTGCTCTGCATAGCTTGTCAGCTCTGCAGAGGCAGTCGGTGAGCGAGCGGGGACAAGAAGAAAAAGGTGGCGGAACGCAGTACCGCCGCGTTCCGGCAGAAAGAAAGCCCTGGGCACAATCAACACCGTATTGACAGTGCCAGAATTATATCCGCAGAGGCACAATCAGCACCGTACTGACAATGCCAGAAATATATCCGCAAAAGCACAATCAGCACCGTACTGACAGTACCAGAAATATATCCGCAGAGGCACAATCAGCACCGTACTGACAGTACCAGAAATATACCCGCAGAGGCAGAAATATATATATATATATATATATATATATATCTTCGCAGAGTACCAGAAATATATCCGCAGAGGCACAATCAGTACCGCACTGACAGTACCAGAAATATATCCGCGGAGGCACAATCAGTACCATACTGACAGTGCCAGAAATATATCCGCGGAGGCACAATCAGTATCGTACTGACAGTGCCAGAAATATATCCGCAGAGGCACAATCAGCACCGTACTGACAGTGCCAGAAATATATCTGGAGAGGCACAATCAGCACTGTACTGACAGTGCCAGAAATATATCTGCGGAGGCAAAATCAGTACCGTACGGACAGTGCCAGAAATATATCCGTGGAGGCACAATCAGTACCGTACGGACAGTGCCAGAAATATATCCGCAGAGGCACAATCAGTACCGTACTGACAGTGGCAGAAATATATCTGCGAAAGCACAATCAGTACCGTACTGACAGTACCAGAAACATATCCGCGGAGGCACAATCAGTACCGTACTGACAGTCCCAGAAATATATCCGCAGAGGCACAATCAGTACCGTACTGACAGTACCAGAAATATATCCACGGAGGCACAATCAGTACCAAACTGACAGTGCCAGAAATATATCCACGGAGGCACAATCAGTACCGTACTGACAGTGGCAGAAATATATCCATAGAGGCACAATCAATATCATACTGACTGTACCAGAAATATATCCGCGTAGGCACAATCAGTACCATACGGACAGTGCCAGAAATATATCCGCGGAGGCACAATCAGTACCGTACTGACAGTACCAGAAATATATCCGCAGAGGCACAATGAGCACCGTACTGACAGTGGCAGAAATATATCTGCGAAGGCACAATCAGTACCGTACTGACAGTGGCAGAAATATATCCATAGAGGCACAATCAGTATCATACTGACTGTACCAGAAATATATCCGCGGGAGGCACAATCAGTACCATACGGACAGTGCCAGAAATATATCCGCGGAGGCACAATCAGTACCGTACTGACAGTACCAGAAATATATCCGCAGAGGCACAATGAGTACCGTACTGACAGTGGCAGAAATATATCCGCAGAGGCACAATGAGTACTGTACTGACAGTACCAGAAAAATATCGGCAGAGGCACAATGAGCACCGTACTGACAGTGGCAGAAATATATCTGCGAAGGCACAATCAGTACCATACTGACAGTGGCAGAAATATATCTGCGAAGGCACAATCAGCTCCATACTGACAGTGACAGAAATATATCCACAGAGGCACAATCAGTACCGTACTGACAGTGGCAGAAATATACCCACAGAGGCAGAAATATATATATATATATCCGCAGAGTACCAGAAATATATCCGCAGAGGCACAATCAGTACCGCACTGACAGTACCAGAAATATATCCGTGGAGGCACAATCAGTACCGTACTGACGGTACCAGAAATATATCTGTGGAGGCACAATCAGTACCGTACTGACAGTGCCAGAAATATATCCGCGGAGGCACAATCAGTACCGTACTGAAGTGGCAGAAATATATCCGCGGAGGCACAATCAACATTGTACTGACAGTGCCAGAAATATATCCGCGGAGGCACAATCAGTATCGTACTTACAGTACCAGAAATATATCCGCAGAGGCACAATGAGTACCGTACTGACAGTGGCAGAAATATATCTGCGAAGGCACAATCAGTACCGTACTCACAGTGGCAGAAATATATCTGCGAAGGCACAATCAGTACCGTACTGACAGTACCAGAAACATATCCGCGGAGGCACAATCAGCACAGTACTGACAGTACCAGAAATATATCCGCAGAGACACAATCAGTACCGTACTGACAGTGCCAGAAATATATCCGCAGAGGCACAATCAGTACCGTACTGACAGTGCCAGAAATATATCCACAGAGGCAGAATCAGTACCGTACTGACAGTGTCAGAAATATATCCGCAGAGGCAAAATCAGTACCGTACTGACAGCACCAGAAATATATCCGCAAAGGCACAATCAGTACCGTACTGACAGTGCCAGAAATATATCCATGGAGGCACAATCAGTACTGTACTGACAGTGTCAGAAATATATCTGCAGAGGCACAATCAGTACCATACTGACAGTGCCAGAAATATATCCGCAGAGGTACAATCAGTACTGTACTGACAGTGTCAGAAATATATCTGCAGAGGCACAATCAGTACCATACTGACAGTGGCAGAAATATATCCGCAGAGGTACAATCAGTACTGTACTGACAGTGTCAGAAATATATCTGCAGAGGCACAATCAGTACCGTACTGACAGTGGCAGAAATATATCCGCAGAGGTACAATGAGTACCGTACTGACAGTACCAGAAAACTATCTGCAGAGGCACAAAAGTACCATACAGAAAGAACCAGAACCATGGCTGCAGAGGCACAATCAGTACCGTACTGTTGTGGCAGAAATATATCCGCGGAGGCACAATCAACATTGTACTGACAGTGCCAGAAATATATCCGCGGGGGCACAATCAGTACCGTACTGAAGTGGCAGAAATATATCCGCGGAGGCACAATCAACATTGTACTGACAGTGCCAGAAATATATCCGCGGAGGCACAATCAGTATCGTACTGACAGTGGCAGAAATATATCTGCGAAGGCACAATCAGTACCGTACTGACAGTACCAGAAACGTATCCATGGAGGCACAATCAGTACCGTACTGACAGTACCAGAAACATATTTGCGGCAGAGGCACAATCAGCACAGTACTGACAGTACCGCCGAGAAATACCAGAAATATATCCCGCAGAGACACAATCAGTACCGTACTGACAGTGCCAGAAATATATCCACAGAGGCACAATCAGTACCGTACTGACAGTGTCAGAAATATATCCGCAGAGGCAAAATCAGTACCGTACTGACAGTGCCAGAAATATATCCATGGAGGCACAATCAGTACTGTACTGACAGTGTCAGAAATATATCCGCAGAGGCAAAATCAGTACCATACTGACAGTACCAGAATTATATCTGCAGAGGCACAATGAGTACCATACTGACAGTACCAGAAAACTATCTGCAGAGGCACAAAAGTACCATACAGAAAGAACCAGAACCATGGCTGCAGAGGCACAATCTGTACTGTACTGACAGTGCCAGAAATATATCCGCAGAGGCATAATCAGAGCTGTACTGGCAGTACCAGGAATATATACTGTATACTGTCTGCAGTGTCTTGAGGCACCTGCTGCACTCACAGAATGCTTGCCCATCCCATGCTCTATTTGGACAGTGCAGTGGATGATGACACTTCACACATTTTAGTGCAGGCAGCCTACAGCTATCTATGTGGGCATTGCTAGCAGCACCCATGAGGTGTAATAAATTAAGAGGGAAAGGGTTGGGGTCTGGCAGGCATAAGGCTATATGAATGAACCTAAAAACAAAACTGGACAATGTAATTTTACAATCGTCACAGGGCTAAATGCCATCTCCAATGGCCATGTACTACAAAGGTGTATGAGAGGTCCATGGAGTTACATTAACACAGAGCATCCTCACCTTTTCCCTGTTACTCTTCAACTCTAGCATATCTCTATAAAGGGAGCTCAGCTTCTCCTGCAGGTCAGACAGGATTCTCAGATGTTCAGCTGAAAAAGTGAAAAATAATGGATACAAATGACCAGCCTATAGAATAGATTATACATACAGTTGTGCTCAGAAGTTTGCATACACTGGCAGGAATCATGAAATTTTGGCATTGATATTGATATTATGACTGATGATGCCAAAAAAAAATGTCTTTTATTTAAGGACAGTGATCATGTGAAGGCATTTATCATCACATAGTTGTTTGTCTCCTTTTAAAATCATATTGATAACAGAAATCACCCAAATGGCCATGATCCAAAATTTCCATCCCCTGGAATATTTGGCTGTGGTACAGACACACAAGGTGACACACACACGGGTTAAAATGGCAATTAAAGGTTATTTTCCCACATTTGTGGCTTTTTAATTGCAATTAGTGTCTGTGTATAAATAGCCACAGATAACCTCAGGAGAAATACAGACTGCCCTGGAAAAAGATGGCGTGGTTGTTTCAAGGAGCACAATATGACGATACTTGAACAAAAATGAGCTGCATGGTCGAGTTGCCAGAAAGAGGCCTTTAGTGCACCAATTCCACAAAAAAAGCCCGATGAGGCATGTCAAGGTGTTGTCGGGCATATTGTAACCAGGCCTTTTTGTGGTATTGGTGTAGAAAATCTGTATAGGTAAAGGACACATGCTGTAGCTTGATATACCCGATTTCGGGTGAGCATTTCAATATACTGCAGGAGATTTGCCATTGCCTGTCATTATAATGTTGATTGCAATTTGCCCCTGGTAAAATGGCGCCGCACATGTGCACTTCACAATCGCAGACACGTGGGCTACGACAAAATGGCCACCGTAATGCACATGTGCCAGATACTATAAATTAAACGGCGCTGCTGTCATGATGGTCCTTGCTCTACCTCAGAAGAAGTGCGTGCGCACGAAACGCGTCAGAAGGAGCCTGTGGACGTCGTTGACACTACGCTGCCGGTGCCATGTGGAGGCCCGGCGGCCACCTATAATTTTAAGAGGGTCAGTGGGTCACTTTCACTTGCCACCTGATTATATGTTTTACTTGTTTTTTTTAAATAAATTGAAGTAATATACTACACTATGAGTATCTCTCTGTGTTCTCTGTGAGGGGTCTTTCTCCCAACTTCACAGCCACAGAGTGATTTCAATCCCAGCCCTGGTTCCATTGAAGAGTAATATCCTATCCTGGGAGCTTACTGACCTGCAGGATTTAGTTTTCCCACAAGAGGGCGTCATCATCATCCATTTCAGCACATATCCATTTTCTGACCAGAGGGAGAGAGGGGAATCTCCAGGATTTCTTACACACATGCGTATTTTAAATGCGCTTCTGGTTAGTTTGCATTCTTTCCATTGGCACTGGGAATTATTGAGCACCTTTTCAGGACTATTATTGTGTTGATTTGCATGATTTGATCATTTTACAGCGCTGCATTTTTATATGTATATGGTGTAGAAAAGGCTTCTTTCTGGCAACTTGACCATGCAGCTCATTTTTGTTCAAGTATCATCGTATTGTGCTCTTTGAAGCAACCACATTGTTTTTTTTCCAGAACAGCCTATATTTCTTTTGAGGTTACCTGTAGGTTTTTCTTTGTATCCTGAACAATTCTGGCAGTTGTGGCTGAAATCTTTCTTGGTCTACCTAACCTCGGCTTGGTGTCAAGAGATCCCCAAATCTTCAACTTCTGATGATTGATTTGCTGGCACCAATCCCTGCACTGCAGCCAGACGGATTTCTCTCCCTCCAGCTGCAGCTGCTACTCGGGAGGGAAATAGATGTCAGGTTGGAGAGCGGGGAAGGCTGGTACAGAGATGTTTACCCTTTCCAGTCCCCTTCCTTTCCTAAATAAACATAGTGAGGTATCGGTACCAATTGCTCCTATATTCATTCATCACTGTGGCATAGGTAACAGTGTTTACTATGCCAAAGTTTATGAATGAATAGGAGAGACAGAGATCTCTATTCATTCATATGCATTTCAGCGAATGCATAAGTCTACAAAGGCTACAGAGAAAGGGGCTGAACTCTATGTCTTCAGTCTTTTTCTCTGTCTCAAAAAAGAGACATCAGAGGTCTGTTTAGACCTCTGATATCTCACTAAAGTCCCCCCTTTTCCCACAAAATTTTTTTTTTTTTTTTTTACAAAATATTAAAAATAAAACTGTAAAAACAAAAAAAACATAAAAAATAATAAAAAAAAAACAGCAAGGCATTGTTCACACAAGGCATACACAGCATTCGTCCCTGCAAGGCCACCTTTACCCACACAGGCGTTTTGTGCATCCCCATGCAGACAGTTCCAATTATGTCAATTGGGATGCAGCAACTGCACTGGCACAGTTTCTGCTCCCAATTTGACATCCGTGTGGGTCCGGGTGCGTGTCATTGAGGTCAAACCGTCTGTGTTTGGGACTGTGCACCCACAGACACATGGATGTCAGATTGGAAGCAGCAGCTGTGCTCATGCAGCCACTGCATCCTAATTGACATGAAAGGGGACTGCCTACACAGGGATGTTCGGAACACCGGGGCATCCCTATGCAGGTAAACACGGCCCTCCACGGGCATACACTTTAGTACACCCCATGTGAATGTGTGAATGGGGCCTTAGTAGGAAGAATTTAGCAAAACGTTTGTAAGTTGTGTTGTGTTTGTGTCCACTAATAATGATTTTAGTGATTTTTTTTGTGAAAAATAGCGATTTATAAACATTTGCACAACTATAGCAGGGTCTAAAAAATCAGTAGCATATTTTTTTCATCCTACTGGTCATGTACTTTCAGAAAATATATGTTTGGGGAATCTTTTACAAACTCTGAAAGCTGTAAGGGAAAATTAAAAATATTTAAAAAATGGTCTGGCCACTTGAGTTTCAAAGTGGAGCGGAGGGCCTGGAGTCGAAAGGGTTAATTGCCATTTTAACCTGCGTATGTCACCTGAAAGCTGTAAGTGAAAAATGTTAACCTCTGATTTTTAGCGTAAATTCTGTTTATTTACAGTTTTGTGCACTGTCAGGTTTTTATCATTTCATAAAAATGACAATTTAACCACCTGAGCTCCTGAGGATTTACCCTCCTTCCTGACCAGGCCATTTTTTGCGTTGCGGTGCTGCGTTACTTTAACTGACAATTGTGCGGTCATGCAATGCTGCACCCAAATGAAATTTATGTCCTTTTTTTCCACGACTTGAGCTTTCTTTTAGTGGCATTTTTTTTTATTTTGCGCTATGAAAAAAAAAAGACTGCCAATTTTGAAAAAAAACCCAATATTTTGCTATTGCTATATTATTGCTATATTTGCTGTGCAGTAAAAAAAATTTTAAAAATCAAATTTCATCATAAATTTAAGCCAAAATGTATTCTGCTCCATGTCTTTGCTAGAAAAAATCCCAATACGTGTAAATTAATTGGTTTACGTGAAAGTAATAGCGTTTACAAATGGCAGTGTATATACTGGGATTTTTTTTTTTCATTTTTACTAGTAATGGCATTGATCAGTGACTTATAGCAGGACTGCAGCAGACACTGGGGGGAACTGACTTGGTGTCACTGACATCCCCAATGACACCAATACAGTGGTCAGTGCTAACAACAAAAAGCACTGAGATTGTACTAATGGCACTGGGCAGGAAGAGGTTAACATGAGGGGCGATCAAAGGGTTAACTGTGTACAGGGAGTGTTTTACTAGGGGGCGGGGAGTGTGTGCTTCACTGTAATCACACTGCTGCTGCCGCAGCAGTGTGCTCGAGCTGACAGGGAGGAGGACTGTTAGTAAACAGAAACAGTCCTCCTTCCCGTCGTAGATCCTCGGAAATCACCGGGCGCCGGCGACTACATACCGGCCAGGGCCCTGTGATTGACAGCCGCGGTTGCGAATGGCGGCGCGGATAGGGCATTCATGCGTACTCCATATCCGGAAAATGTAAAATCACGTATATATACGTGATTTTGTGCACCCGTGCCTCCCTGTAGCAGTATTTCTGCTATAGGGTGATTGGGAAGTGGTTAAAATATACAAGTATTTTCTATGTACTAACTCAATACAGTTTTTGCTTTTATATTTGGTAGGAATTTAGTGGGAATTTTGTAAGTTTTGCTGTATTTGCATCTGGCTATAAGGATTTTTGTGTATTTTTAGCGAAAACCATTGTTTTGATAAACATTTGCACAAATATCATGGGGCCTAAAAAAAATTAGTAGCACCTTTTTTATTCTAGAGGTCATGTGCTTTCAGAAAATATATAGTTTGGGGGGGGGGTCTTTTACAAACTCTGAAAGCGTAATGGAAAATTAAAAATATTTCAAAAATGGTCTGGCCACCTGAGTTTAAAAGTGGAGTGCAGGGCCTGGAGTCAAAAGGGTTAACTGACATTTTAACCCATGTGTGTCACCTTGTGTGTGTGTACCAAAGCCAAACATTCCAGGGAATGGAAACTTTTAATCAGAGCCATTTGGGTGATTTATGTTATCATTATAATTTTAAAAGGAACCAAAAAATTATGTGATGATAGTGTCTTCATATGATCAGCACCCTTAAATGCATTTTTGTCAGATTATCAATATCAATGCCAAAATTTCATGATTTCTGACAGGGTGTGCAAACTTTTGAGCACAACTGTATTTTTCATAAAAATGCAGTCAACGTGCCCCTATTTAAAGCGGAACTACACTACATCTGAGCATCACAAACCAGAAACACTATTTAGTTAATCTATAATATTGAACGCAAACTCCCACATCCATTCATGTCTTCATGCTTTATTTTGCTGAGAAATCACTTTGAAAATCACCCACTAGCATTTCTGGCCATGACTAGATGGATTTCCTGGAATCCATCCACCCTTAGCTCAGTCATACAGGCAGGAAGGCATGCTTAACTGAGAAAAACCCCTCCTCAAGACTACTGTCCTGTATGACCATCATTTGCCTAGGCCAGAAACCAGGAAGTAACTGAAGAAACTAAAGAAAAAAAGATTAAAACAAGTAAATATGATACATCTTTCAATCTGTTTAGTAATGCTAGTAACATAAGGATTAAAAATAGTCAAAGTTGATTTAGAAAGTGAAGTTCTACTTTAACATTAATCTGTACTTGAAACATAATTGTTAGCACGTCTGCCTAGCAGCACTAGGATCGTTGGTTCAAAACCCAACCATGGCACCACCTGCCTGGAGTTTTCATGGTCTCCCTGAGTCTGCGTGGGTTTCTTCCGGGTACTCTAGTTTCCTCCTACACTCCAAAGACATGCTCGTAGGTTAATTGGCTCCTTTGTAAATTGGCCCTAGTATGAGTATGCATGAGGTTACGTTAGGGATCTTAGATTGTAAGGTCCTTGAGGGCAGGGACTGATGTAATTATAACAATATATATGTAAAGTGCTACATAAATTGACTGTACTATATAAGTACCTATAATAAATCAAATAAATAATGGACAGGGTAACAGTCAGTACTTGCATGCACTTCCCCATCTCTCTAATCCTCTGCAAAGCTGCCCCAAATAATCGTGCAAGTCCAAACTTGCCCAAGGCTATGCACAGTCCACACCACCCTTTGACACCATTTGGGCCTAGCAACTGTTTGCTGAGGATGGACTATGAAGAAAAGAGGGAGTGTCCTATGCTACCCTACACCCAGAAGTAGCAGGTACCTGTAGATCTTTGCAGCATGCTGAGTTCTGCTCTGTCTGCTTTGATTTTCTCCAATGTTTTCACCCTTGCTTGAACCAATGCATGTTCCTCAGACAGAGCACCAATGTTGCGAAGTGCTTCTACGGTATCTGCAAAGCGATGTGATGCCTTCCTGCCTTGGGAGGATGATGATGGTGTACGTGGGGGTGTTGCTTTACTTGGAGTACCAGGATAGCTAGAAGGAGCTGGTGAAGAACGATTGCTATCACCTGGGACCCGTAGCAATGCTGTTGTCGTGGTGTGTAAACCTGGAATTTGAGTTGTTCCATCAATATTATTTGTATTGGGGGATGAAGAGCTGTCTACAGGGTAGCCTGGAGGATGTGCATGCTCCTGGCTAACAAAAGGAAGAGTAGTCACATCTTGCTCAGGAGCAGGACCCACAAGGTGCGCATGGGATTTATCTTCAGGTTTCTGGCTTGCCACATTTTCCTGATATGATATGGCCGTGTCTTCCTCCCCATTCACTTGAATACGTTCTTTGTGAGTTTCAGAAGCAGAGAGGGAAGACTTTTCAATGGGTTCTTGTGCCAGATTTATTTTAGTTTGAACAGTATTATGTACAGGTCCTTCATTTTTGGGGACCTCATTCATTTGTAGAGCTTCATCTTGAGCCTGAAACATGGATGCTGAAGTGGTTGGCACCTGTTGCATAGATGTTTTAGAGGTTGTAGTGCATTGTCCATTGGGTAAAATATATGAAGTCTGTGCATCCTGGAAGAAGAGAAGAAGACAATACTGTATAATATTGACATGTGAACCATCAAAAAATCTCTCAATGCAATTCCAACTCTAGAACTCTAGTGAGTGACTTAATTAAATATACAGTAAGTGTTTAAAAAAAAAAACATTTATTTTTTCATCATCGATGCCAATCGCTAGTTCCATTAGTCCTAATGTCACAGATAGTTCAACCAAAGAAAAGATGGCCAGAATTAGGGCTTTAGAGGCACTACAACAATATTCATTAAAATCATTTCTTTATTAGAATATACACCATTACACAGCAATGCATAGAAATTATCTGCTAAGAATGTAAGACCCCCCATTAGGGGTGATGCATTCTATGCAGTTACAAAACTCTTAGATACATACAATTATTTTGATCCATATACAAATGTACTGTGTCTCAGTAAAGGTATCAAGGAACATGAATCAGATGTCAATGACCATAGTTACTCAACATGTTTCGCGAGAATATCGCTTCTTCAGGAGTCACTTAAAACATAGGCAACGGTGTGTAAATTGTGTGTGTGGGGGGGGGGGGGGGGAAGGGGGGGGGTGAGGCATCCACGTCTCAGGCAAGTTAAACAGGGGGATCCCAAAAGGATATATCACGTTCTAGGTAGTCCTAAGAAGGCCATTACTCCGGGACAGAGCGGGGGTGTCAGTGACGACCCCTCAGGCAAGTACAGCTGGACAGCATAGGTGCTCTTAAACGGTATCCCCGGCTGGGCTAAGGGGATCAGCAAGCACGGTACACTGGCGTTTGGGACCAACTTAGTCGGTTTCGTCTTGCTATATGACAGAGACAAGAACTTGACTGTACTGTGTCTCAGTAAGGGTATCAAGGAACATGAATCAGATGTCAGTGACCATAGTTACTCAACATGTTTCGCGAGAATATCGCTTCTTCAGGAGTCACTTAAAACATAGGCAACGGTGCGTAAATTGTGTGTGTGGGGGGGGGGGAAAGGGGGGGGGTGAGGCATCCACGTCTCAGGCAAGTTAACAGGGGGATCCCAAAAGGATATATCACGTTCTAGGTAGTCCTAAGAAGGCCATTACACCGGGACAGAGCGGGGGTGTCAGTGACGACCCCTCAGGCAAGTACAGCTGGACAGCATAGGTGCTCTTAAACGGTATCCCCGGCTGGGCTAAGGGGATCAGCAAGCACGGTACACTGGCGTTTGGGACCAACTTAGTCGGTTCGTCTTGCTATATGACACAGACAAGAACTTGATGGATGGCCCTAATATTCCAAACATCACTCTAACATTGCGATATTAATGGAATTTGCCTTACTGGCTTACCCTCCCCCCGTTCCATCTACACATAAGACACTACAAATACTGCTTAGTAATTACTGATGCACTTTCCTTTGTAGATCCAATTGGAGAATTGACTATACCCTCTCCATACAGTCCACGTCATTGAATATTTTTAAGTGGCCTTGTGGCTCTAAAGTTGGTGATACTATTATAGTTTCCGCAAATGGAAGGAGGTCCTTCTTAGGACTACCTAGAATGTGATATATCCATTTGGGATCCCCCTGCTAGCGTAGATGCCTCACAACCCCCCCCCCCCCCCACACACACACACACACACACACACAATTTCTGCACCCGTTGCCTATGTTTTAAGTAACTCCTGAAGATGCGATATTGTCACAAAACATGTTGAGTAACTATGGTCACTGACATCTGAATCATGTTCCTTGATACCGTTACAAGGACATGGTACATTTGTATGGATCAAAATAATTTTATGTAGCTAAGAGATTTGTAACTGCATAGAATGCATCATCCCTAATGGGGGTCTTACATTCTTAGCAGATAATTTCTATGCATTGCTGTGTAATGGTGTATATTCTAATAAAGAAATGATTTTCATGAATACTGTAGGACGTGGCACTTGGGATCTCTTTTTACATCCCCTCAGTCCTCACTCTGTGTTGGATACTTCCTACTCTATTAGCTAATGTCAAAGATATGTTCCTCCTGAATATGTTTGATAAGCCTTAATACGAAACTGCGATTTTTTCCATGCAAGTAACAGGTCAACCCCCCTGTCACGATCGCGGCGTCAGACCCCAGACCTTCTCACCAAACTTGTGAGTGAAGGGCTAACCGATCTACAACCGCGATGTGACGTGCGTAACAATGCCACACCCAGCTGCACCCTGCACAAAGATTTTCCAGCTAATGGATACCGATCGATGTGCCAGCAGCCTGAATCGATTGTTACTGGGTCAGGTTAAATACGCAATTAACCCCTTCACACTGCCACCACCTCCTTTTTGATCAGAGAAAGAGGAAACTCGGCATTCAGCTATAACACTATGATGGTTGATATAATCAACTTCATAACCTGGTCATAATACAGGCCTGTTATACAGAGGGTTAAAACAAACAGTAGCGTCTCTTTCAAGGCAGGGATTCATAAATTGCAATTAAGAGCTATAGAAACAGTTCAACGCTTTCAGAAAGAGAGATTTATTACTAAAAGGGTCAAACAGGTGCAATAAAAATATTTACAGGGAAGATGTAACTAAGATATATATATATACATAGAAGACAGCACAGCAAAGAGATAACGGAGAAGTTAAAGGGTTAAGTTACTTGCCATTAAGCCTTGGATGTAAGCAGATCACGTTTCTGAGCAGAAGGGTGCTTTTTGATATCCCTATGTTAGGAAGGTAAAGATGGGAGAATTCTTCAACTCACTACTCTTAGGCTTGACAGCCTGCTTTAAAGTTTCCCAGCAGGGGGTGGTTCTGAAGTAAAAGACCAATCCCCTGTTTAGGGAGGATCGGCAGGCAGAACCCTAAACTGGAGCACACATCTTTCATAATTCATATTCTGGTCCATAACTTTCCATCTGCACAAGTGACAGTCCACCCGCGGGTATATTATCATGCAAACAAGTCTGAGGATTATTTAGATATGAATTATGAAATTATATATTGCACTGTTCACGAGTTCTATGTTTCAGCTTCCCTGATGGTCCGAGATAAGTGAGTGACCCATCAAACTGTTCACCTGCTCATTGGTTGATTTGAGAAGTGTTCATCTAATTCTGTCACCTACACTGAGCTAGGTATATTAGCTCAGAGTCCCTTTCAACTCCTGGGAAGGCTATCCCTTCACGAGGCGTGAAATTACACAGGTACTTTGGCCAGTGAGACTCCAGCTCTTGGGAAAGCTGGTCCTATCTCTTCCTAGATGAGAAAGGATACAGCTTTCACAGACAGCTCGGCACCTAACTAGAGATGCTTGGCCGGCCAGTGACCCAAAAACAGTACACACATACACACTAGCCAAATGTCTCCACTCAGTGAGAGGGAGGGGTGGAGGAAGGATAAGGGAGAAATATATGTGTCAGGACATCAATATATAAGAAAACAAGCATGCAGCGCTCCTATATGATATGAGGTAAACAAAATACCAAACACATGTATGTTACTTCGAATTTAAGATATATGCATATAAATGTGCAAAATAGTGCATAGCGCATGTAGCTATATATCGCCGAGCATGGATAAGTTCATGAATGGATTTCCAAAGTTACAACGTGAAGATGAGTGACAGTCTGTTATAGCAAACATCAAAATATTCGTGACATCAGATGGTGAAGAAATGAGAATAATATGCACTAACCAGATAGCGCTATAAAAACGCATGTAGATGATGAAATCATCTAGGTGTGAGCATCTGGACCCAGGTGTTCTGATTATGGGAACATCTATCGCAGCATTACAACAGGATTTCCAAATGGCAGAGCTATGATTGAAGACCACCGGAGGGAGCCAGCAACCAGGATCTCTACAGACCAGGTATCCCAAAGTATATAGTATGTTCGCCGACCACCAGGGGCAGAAAGAGCTCAGAAGAATATCCAATAGTTTCCTTGGGGAAAATTGACTCAAGCAGAAAAGAGCCAAAGGACAAAAATATCTAAGTGCAGCATTACTTTATTCAGGATTATCAGAGAAATGATAAAATATAACTCACATGATATGCAAACAAAGGCCCACTGGCCAGACAGAAGGGGTCCACGTGGATAGAAAGTCACTGAGGGCAGCTTTCTAAGTCCACGTGGACTTTCTATCCACGTGGACCCCTTCTGTCTGGCCAGTGGGCCTTTGTTTGCATATCATGTGAGTTATATTTTATCATTTCTCTGATAATCCTGAATAAAGTAATGCTGCACTTAGATATTTTTGTCCTTTGGCTCTTTTCTGCTTGAGCCAATTTTCCCCAAGGAAACTATTGGATATTCTTCTGAGCTCTTTCTGCCCCTGGTGGTCGGCGAACATACTATATACTTTGGGATACCTGGTCTGAAGAGATCCTGGTTGCTGGCTCCCTCCGGTGGTCTTCAATCATAGCTCTGCCATTTGGAAATCCTGTTGTAATGCTGCGATAGATGTTCCCATAATCAGAACACCTGGGTCCAGATGCTCACACCTAGATGATTTCATCATCTACATGCGTTTTTATAGCGCTATCTGGTTAGTGCATATTATTCTCATTTCT